ATATATATATATATATATATATTGTATATGTGTGTGTGTGTGTGTTTATATATGTATATATAATTTTATAATTGCAATTTTTTTTATCAATAATTGTTATTTATTAATTGAAACAACATGAGAAATGAGTAAAGGATGGCAGATTTAAATTTTTTGGTAAACCATCCCCTTATAGGCAAGATACATTTTTTACCCACTCAAAATTATTTACCTTTCTCTTCTCTTTTTTCTCATCCTTCTTGGTGAAGACGGTGTGAACCCACCAGATCTTGGTGAACATGCTGCCATAGGCTAAACTGAAGCCTAGTCCAAGCAACCACAGGCGAAACTACGAGAGAATGAGAGACAGAGAGTTAATTTGGGAGCTCAGCTCCAAAGCAGCTATTAGTTTTTTACACCAAATCTTCGTCTTGCTCAAAGGTCAAGGCTGAATGAGAGGAAACGGCAATAAAAAAGTGAGTATAACATTTATGACACTACCTGGCACACCACGGGGAACTGTGATCTTTGGATATGGAGGCCATCGATGCCCAGAGGAAAGACAGCTGCTAATGCCAGCACGCAACCCACCGCCGTCATGTTGTTCAGATAGGGCTGAGAGTTCTGAATGTATCTGTCAGAAAAGTTACAACAGACTACAGATATATTACACTGTTTCAAAATGAGAAATCCAAAACATTTTAAGCTGAGCTGAAATATTGTTTTGTAACAGTCAAGGGAGCATTTAAAGGAGTCATAAAAATCGTGAAAAATCTAATTTTCCTTTATATATATAATAAAATAAAATAAATGCTCAAGAAATAAAATGATCAAAATTACACACTGGAGGTGCGGTGTCATTAAAATAATTCAAATGGACAAAACTGACATACTGACATACACAAAATAATTCTAAAATTACTTTTAATTGTAAGATTTTACTGCATTTCAGATCTCTTGCATGTGGATTTCTTATGAACACAGGATACTAACCTGACGCTACTGTTGTATATGTTGAAGGAAAGGCAAACTATGCCCAGAAGGATTCCCAGCCCAGCAAAGACAGACACTGATACAAAGAGCTTCTGGGAAAGGTAACGAAACTCCTCAATCACCTTGGTCTGGTCTGCCGGAGGGCCGAGGCCTATCAAAAGAGAAACCCGTCAGGAAATATCAGAGAAACCAAAAGAAACTCTGAAGCACAGACAGAACGGATCAGATCAACAGATAAGAACGTATAGATCACAACAACATGACACTAGATGCAGAAAAAAATCAGAGATTGACTTCGTTGAGAGTTCGAAGAGCAAAGGCGAAGTATTCCAGCTTAGTTCAGAGAGTCATTAGCTACATCTGCGCTGTCACACTTCAGAAACACTTGACTTGGAGGGAATATTAACAGATTTTTTTAGACAGAAAATTTTCTGTGAAATAAGGCCACTGGGCCGGTTTGACACGTCAAGTGTCTGGAAAATTTCAGGGGAAAAGGAAGCTCACAGCATTCACACATTAGCAAGACCAGACGGACTCTGACTTCTTTCACACTTTTCACACTTTCGGCGCTTGTTTTGGAGGAAAATCTGCAGAATTCTGTGAAACAGATTTAAAGATGTGTTAAATGGAGCTGGGAGTACTACACTTTCATTTCTAGCCCAAAAACCAAACAAATACACACACAAAAAATTAATAAACAAACATACAAAGGACAAGGAATGTGTAAACATTTGTGACTGAAGGTTATATTTCTGAGCTGGTGTGAGATCAGGGAGCCATTTGCCAGTTTCATTTTTTTGTTCGAAACTCTTGCAACAACAAAATGTTGCAAAATGAGAACAAATGTATATATCTGGGGGGATTTTTGATGATGGCATCTGGTATGAACACATTGTAAATGGCTTGTAAATAAGACATTTGGTGTACATGACAGGAGATCAAAGTGGGAGAGAGCAGGAAGACTAATGGCAATAAATGTGCATAAATATACTGACAAGACCTTTTCTTGCAGAGAAATGTCAATATCAATAGATTCAAATTTGAATGTTGTTATTTTTAATTAAGTTATCTGAAAACAACAGTGTGATGGACATTTTTGCTGTTGCATGGCATAATTTAAGTCATAAATTAGTTGAGAGAAATATGCCTATTATAATTAGTCAAAATAATTGATTAGTTAGTAATCATGTTTTATCACAAACTTGTGGTGGACAACTGAAAATTTAGTAGAATTTTAACGTACACTACCGTTCAATAGTTTGGGATCGAGAAGATATTTTAATGTTTTTATTAGAAAGCAGCTCACCAAAGCTGCTTTACAGTAAAAACAGTAATATTCTGAAATATATTAAAGAACTGTTTTCTACTTTAATATATTTAAAAATAGAATTTATTTCTGTGATGGCAAATCTGAATTTTAAGCATCGTTACTCTAGTCTCCAGTGTCACATGATCCTTCAGAAATCATTCTTTTATGCTGATTTGCTGCTTTCTTATTAATATCAATGTTTAATATTTTTGCGGAAACTGACATTTTTTCCGAATTCTTTGATGAATTGAAAGTTCAACAAAACAGCGTTTATTTGACATCAAAATAGTTTGACCATTACAAATATCGTTACTGTCACTTTTGAGCATTTGAATGCATTCTTGCTAAATAAAAGTATTAATCAAATTCATACTGACCCCAAACATATACGTTTATGGATGACATTGTTTGACTGAAACAAAATAGTTACGATCTACCAACTGTTTCAATAAATCTTCATGTTGTGAACATCAGTAAGAACCCCTACATATGATCCAAGATAAACTTAAAATTTCACAGATCATCTATGTATCAATGTATCAATCTAAAATAAGTAAAAAGAGACAACACCAGTGTAAACTCACAGTAAAAGCATTATGTTCTCACTCCTCACAGTAATGTTATCACTCTTACTGAAACTGTGACTAAAATTACGAATTTACGCCTCTCGCTGTTCAATCTGTCACTATAATTATAACCAAAAACAGGATTCCTGTGGGAACAATAATTACAGCGATGATGGCTGTCATAAAGCTATTTGAAAAAGACAAACAAATGACAGCGACTGGCAGAAATCTAACACTGAACAACTAAAATGAGAGTATTTCTCTGTCAGAAGCAATCGTGTCATTACCGTGGACAGAAAGCTGACCGTGAGGGACATGTGTCCGTGAAAGACAGCTTGCCCTCGGCTTCGTCAAAAGTGACACAAGGTTTGTTGATACTTTTCCGAATGTCAGAATACTGATGGGTCAGGAGTGACACCTGACATTGGCTACTGCAATGTGGCAGCAATGCTGTGAGAGATAAATGTGTGTGTGTGTGTGTGCGTGCGTTTTTGTGACAAATGAGGACATAAATTTGTATAATGACAAAGGTATGACATAGGTATTACAAGGAGAAGGTGACTTTTCAGGACATTACCCCATGTCCCCACTTTTCAAAACGCTTATAAATCACACAGAATGGAGTGTATTGAAAATCTGAAAAAGCACAAAGTCTCCTGTAAGGGGTAGGTTTAGGGGTAGGGTTGGTGTAGGGCAATAGAATATACGGTCTGTACAGTATAAAAACCATTACACCTATGGGATGTCCCCACTTTTCACAAAAACAAACCTGTGTGTGCTAGAAAGCTCTGTCCTGTCAGTCGATGCATTCGCACAGTAAACCTTCCATCGTCCTTGATCTAAGAATCAGGACAGGGTGTTGCTATGGAGACCTGGCTTAACAACAGTTTCCACAGCAATTTGGAAGAGAAAGTCATGCTAAAGTGGTTGTCAGGCACTCCAAAGAGATTGCTGAAAAGCAAGGGCACTGCCATATCAAAAAGACAGAAGAAACCAAGTCCTGAGTTCTGACCCATGTTGTGTGTTTTAAAGGGCACGTTTTTATTTTAAGAAAGATTAGAAACTGCACAAATGCTTGAAAATCTCACCCGACGAATCCCGGAGGAGGTTCTGCGCTATTTGGACAGAACAGCTGCTGCTTCTGCTATTATCAAGGGCAAAAAACGGCAAGCAATGTCACCAGCTCAATGCTCCGCTTTTTTCCATGGGGGGGGGGGGACATGACTAAATAGGCCATAACTGTGAATTCAGTTTTTCTGAAAATAGCCGTGATTGGCTAAAAAGGATGTGCATTTGCAAATGCGGGAAGAAAGTTATTAAGTCAAATTAAGTTAAATGGATTTTTGGAGGTTTTTGGATTTATGCCCTTTTGCAGTGCCTTTTGGCGACAGGAAGTTACTGCAGAGAAAGTAAAGGAGTGGGATCACTAATTGCTATTTTTAATCAGTGGTCAGGTGTTATTAAATGAAGGAAGCATTTGTTTTAAACACACAAAATTTTGTATATAAGCCTTATTGGGATATTAGCCTTATTTTTTAAATATACAATTATATTTAATTGTATACATATATTTGTATATACAATTAAATATATATTTATATACACATAAACCTTAATGTGCTCACCAAGGCTGCATTTTTTAGGTCAAAAACACAGTACAAACAGTAATATTGTATACTGTTACAATTCAAATGAACTGTTTTCTATTTGAATATATATTAAAATGTAATTTATTTCTGCGATGCAAAGCTGACTTTTCAGCATCATTACTCCAGCTCTTCTGTAGGGCTGGAAGATATGACTCAAAATCAAATCAAATCTTGATTAATTGAACATTTTACCTCGATCACGATTAATGAGTGATCATTTTATTTATTTACTTACTTTGTTTCCCTCATAGTTCACTGACAATGTTTGTACTGTAAAAATGCTCAACTATTAAAGTAAATGCAAACTGTTTATGGTTATTTATTGAATATTTCGAACAACTGAAATCAAAGCACACGTTTCTTAAAATGAAAAGGTCTTATGAAAAGTCACATTTCAGTTTTAATGTAAAAAATATATTTTCACATTAAAATATGTAAAAAGCATATTATTATGCTGCTCCTGTTGCTCAGATGACTCAGGTGTTTGAGTTCTCCAATATGTTGCTTTCATGCTGCTGACTGGACGGAGTAACGTGACTACACACGAGGTAGTATGTTTTTAAGGGAAAAGTCAGGGTTGCCAATTTGGGCTGCTGCCGCAGGTCGTTTTTCAGTCCGTTTTTTAATTAAACCAATCGCCCAACCCCTGAGCATAGTGGTTCAACGGTTCACAAATCTCACGGTTCGGATCACATTACGGTTTTTGGCCCACTGATCGGATCATTTTTCGGATCAGCAAGAAAATAAAAATATTTCAATTTAACTTGCTTTCCATTTATTACTTAAAGCGAAGTACTTCTTTGATAACACAGCAAATACTACTAGATTAACTAAGAAAGTTTAAACATGATTAAAGAGACAAGAGGACAGCCAGTAAAAATAAGAACAAATACACAAATTACAAGCATATATAAATACAACAGAATATGTTACAAATAAAATAAGGTTGGTAGTAAATACAGAAATGTAATAATTAGGGAAAATAACACTGCATAGTGTTCACTGTATAAATTAAATATAGATTTTTATCACAGCTGTTTTGTTGTTTGATGATTATTAATGACAGCAGCAGTATTTATAGGCCGCTGTCCTTTAAGACCTGATGCACGGATCCGATATAATGATACACATCACATCCGATTTCTTTCTCAGCTGTTTTCATTCTCAGCTGTTTTCATTCACTTGAGACATAACTGACTGCGTTTACCTGAATGATTGTCGAGATGGGTATTTTGTCAATTTTATGTGTATGTGTCTGTTCACAGGATTCAGAAGAGGATTCAGTTCGGTGTTCGCGAGTAACGAATCGAGTTCCCTTTCGCCTTTTCTCTCTAGAATTGTTTAAAATTCGCTTGCTTGTGTAAATACGAACAAATGATAAACTTATACTCTATTATGGTTAAATTCTGCAATTAATCCGTGATCTGTTTAACCACTACCTTTTAGTGACTTTTTTAGTGACGTGACATGTGGCCAAGTATGGTGACCCATACTTGGAATTAGTGCTCTGCATTTAACCCATCCAAAGTGCACACACACAGCAGTGAACACACACACACCGTGAACACACACCCGGAGCAGTGGGCAGCCATTTATGCTGCGGCGCCCGGGGAGCAGTTGGGGGTCCGGTGCCTTGCTCAAGGGCACCTCAGTCGTGGTATTGAAGGTGGGAGAGATCACTGTACATTCACTCCCCCCACCTACAATCCCTGCCGTTACAAGACTCGAACCCGCAACCTTTGGGTTACAAGTCGAACCTCTAACCACTAGGCCACGACTCCCTGAGCATGATTATATTAGAGGAAGGGGACACACAACGGAGGGGAAAACTGGGGAAAAAATGAGATTGGGCTAGTTTTGGTCTTGTTTTGAATAGCAATCGGGCTTGTTTTGTTTTGCGGACCTGGCAACCCTGGGGAAAGTATTAACAGGTTTAAAAAAACGAAATAACTGACATGAGAAAGTTACGTCGGTTAATTACTTTTCTATTACTTGTCCAGCCCTAGTCTTCAGTGTCACATGATCCTTTAGAAATCATTGTAATATGCTGATTTGCTACTCAAACATTCTGTGTGATTATCAATATTGAAAACTTGGTGTGTAATTTTTGTGTGTGTGTAAACCGTGGTACTTTTTTTTCAGGATTCTTGGAATAGAAAGTTCTAAATGACAGCATATATTTCAAATATAAACTTTTGCGACAATGCGAAAGTCTTTGCTGTCACTTTTGATCAATTTAATGCATCCTTCCTAAATAAAAATATTAATTTCTTTAAAAAAAAAAAAAAAAACTACTGACCCCAAATGGCATATTGTGGGTATATATATATATTTTTTTTTTACATACCTAATTTACTGTAATTAATTTTATCACACTGAACCTTACTATAAAGCATTGTATTTAAAGTTAATCTTGTGACCTTTTAGGAGGATATTAGCATATAGATGGTCTCAAAAATAATAGACATTGGACTAAAAGCCACAAAACTCCCATCCCACAGAAAAAGAATTAACTATATAAACTAAATATATAAATAAATTTATATGTAGCTAAAGTATCTAAACACACTCTCTCACTTTATAGAACCCAACCTTGTGTTCTTTAAAAAAGATAATAATAATAAAACCTTCAGAAACTTTCACATCTGAATGCATTTCATACACTTTGGAAACACTGTAATCACCCTGTCAAATACAGTAAATTGCAGTGTTCAGTCACTAAGCTGACACTGACATCTATAATAATCTTTCACTTTTTCCAAAATGTCTGCCTGCAGCATTGATCTTCACCTTGTAGCCATTCAGAAAACAAGTTCTAGTGAAGTGTGAGGTCATTACTCGTCTAATGTAGGGCAGTGCTGCTTTGTTACCGTCACGCTGGTGGAATCCACTCAATGGGATCACAGCATGAATGATTGATTAGAGCCTAAATCAAGAATGACTCACAGAAGAGGACCGGGCAAATCCAGCAAATAATCGCCTCTGTATCTCTTGGGTGAGAAAATACAGGATTTTGGTGGCGGCAATTCAATTCCCATTTCTTGGCAGAAAACCAATTTTTGGGGTAGTAGGGAAGGCACTGATTGGTGCTTTTGTTAATGATTCACTAGAATAGTATCCCGGCATCCATGCAGAAAAAGGAGCAAGTTGAGCAACAACTATGCATTTTTTATCGAAGCTATTCTTAGGGTGACATTGCACCTGACAGGACGCTTTTAAAAGTAAAGTGTTTCTTTTGCTTTGTTCACGCTGCATTTTTAGGACTGGCTGCCCAAAAAGGCCAATGGAAAACTGAAAATGATTTCACAAGGCGCATGACACAATAATAAGCATCAGAGGCATTTCTGTACTATTTACACATTCATGCATATGCTGAGTGTCAAACCACATACCCGTTTGCTCATTCAGTACACTCTAAATGCAGTCAATGTGAGCATAAATAAGTGACACTGCACTTTGTGTGACAGTCACACAGCATCCTGAATGAGGAAAAAAAGTACTTCATCTAATCTGATCATTTAGAACTGAAACATATTTCTAAAAATATTATTATAATCATGTTTCAGACAGCATTTAGATATGGTTTGCATTGGGTTGCACATTTTTTCCCCCACAGCTATTCTGAGCTGTGACATTAAAAGCAGCACAAAGGGAAAAAATACAAGTCAATTTAACTAGACTGGTAAATACTACGAATTTACTAAATACTAATCTAAATACAAAGAATCCTAAAATGTCATATCATAATCGTAAAAAATAAACACACAAACACACACATATATACATACATATATATATATATATATATATATACATATATATAAATACATATATATAAATACACACATATACAGTATATATTTTGAAAATACATACATGTATTTACATACACTAATATATATATATATATATATATATATATATTAAAAAAAATTGGGACAGAATACAGCTATTTTGAATCACTGTAGATGGAAAGAGATGCTTTTTAGAGCCACCAGCAGGGCCAAACTGAACCGTGCTAACTAGCCTTGACCCTTTGTTCAAGACCGCAAACAACTTAATGGATCGGAGTCAAAGACGTCAAAAAATTGGATTTTTGAACAAAACCTTGGTTTACCTTTCCACAGAAAGATTAAATTACTTTTTCAATTTCACACTCTTTCCTACACGTTGTACTTTCCCATTTATCGGTGAGCATCATCACACATTTTCATTTGATCCGCTCTGCGCCTTACATCTTCTTTCATCAATACCGGTTTGTCAATCGAGCAAATTCACAGAGCTGCACAAAGGTCAGAGCGAGCGTGAACGGCACCGCGGTTCCACTTCTCCGCTCCCCTGGGCCTGTATGGCCTCCTCTAGCAGAAAGGACAGCTAATTGTTAGCGATGTATTAAAGAGCGCGACAGGGCTTTGTTGAGCTAACAGAAATCAATACTGGTAAGCCTCAATCTCGACGAGCCGAGCGCGGCTGTGAAAGGTGACGGGAGTGGAATGGACAGAGCTGTCCCCACGTGCAGAAAAAGGCTGGTTTCTCTTACCGATCCATTTGTCGTTTCCATACCAGGACAGGTTGCCTTTTGTGCTGTCATAGTATCCAATCTTCTTGTAGCTCCCACCTGAGGGAAAAAAATGCAAGAAGTTAAATGAAAGACGAGAAACGCCTGAAAGAAAAGTGTATATGAAACCATCTTCTTCAGCCTTGACCCCAAAAAAAGAGACCCTCATCTGTCCATGAATTCCTTTTGTACTATAGACAATGTAATGAACAATGTAATGTTTTTAAAGGCTTGTATTAAAAGTCTTGTGTAAATATAGCATGTAATTAACAGTGTGTCAACTAAAGGTCACATTAAGAAAACTTGCTTGCACTAAGCACTGCAATAAAAGCTTCAAAAGAGGCCTGACTCGACAAATCTGGAAAAATAGTCGACTTAGAACTGCATCAATGGGTCGGGAAAAAAAAACAAGCCCAACTGCATTGATCAAAGTTAATCTGAAAGGCAACATATTGTAGAAAAACTTTGCTTTTTGGATATCAAAGACTTTGATGTACTATGTAGACAAACTTTCGCAAACACAAAACTTAAGACTCTCTCACCAGTCCAGACAGGAAATTTGGGTCATTCAGAAATCTTTAACACTAAAATACGACCGCAGACACAGTGAAGTAATGAGCAGGAAGCAGGATAAATGGGATTTTCTTTAACTACAGGCAGTTTAGGCCCTTTGGACTTTTAGAAAGTTTCTTTTAGACATTTTATTTCTAACATAAAGTCACTTTTCACACTCTAACTAGTTTAATTTGTCTACTAACAATGTCCAACAGTGGACATTGACACATAGGAGAATTTTGTCAGTTTGTCAAAATTTTGTCAAAATTTTTTTACCTGCATGTCACGTGACCTTTTCCCCAACTTTAGAAAACAGGGAACATGCAAATGTGACGACGGGCTACCAATGCCCATGAAAGAGTATGTGCACACAGTTACATAGAAAAATAGCACTGTCAAAAGTTTTTAAGCTCTTTAAGGTTTCAACCTTCACTTGCTTTAAGCTTCTTTTAAACAAACTGTACGTCTTTGACATGGCATCAAAAAGTAGCGAGTCAAAGGTGGTAGAAGAAGAAGTTACAATTTTGCTCGTCCCCCCCCCCCCCCCCCCCCCCATCACAGTGTAATTTCTACCACAAATCAAATTATGCATTCAATAACACACTTAGTTAGCATTTCATTTTATGATTCATATTATATATATACATACAGTGCTGGGTAGATTACTTTCAAATTGTAGTCGGTTACTGATTCCAAATTACATGAAAAACATACATTTCAGGGAATATAATCCGATTACTTTTTGATTACTTTTGGATTCCTTTTGACCTAACTCATTTATCACATTGATTTAAATATGAAAACCTTGTACCATTTTGCTATAAAAATGCAAAGAGAAAGCAAAAACATTCCATTTGTTGTTATTAAGAACATGAAGTGCATAAAACATCTAGGTTTCACAAACTGGGCTTTGTGAAAGAATTGCAAGGGGTTTGTGAGTTTAATGAAAAGCTGATAATTAATTAAATCATAAAAATGTAAAGCAAAAATAAATCATTTCAAAACAACAATAATCAAAATAAAACGCTAACTTTTTTTTACCTGCATGTCACGTGACCTTTTTCCCAACTTTAGAAAACAGGGAACATGCAAATGTTCATAAATCCAGTGCTGTGTGGCGTCTCAATTTTCTGAGTAATTATAGCCACCTGACTGGTCTTTGTGCGAATGTCCACAAAACTAGAAGACTTCTGAATAAGTGGTGGTCTATTTTAGAAAGGAAAATTTAAAAGATTAAAAAGATCAATTAAGAAGAATCAATCAATTCTGAAACATGTATTGCTATTGTGTGAATAATATGTAATCATATAATCAATCAAAAGCAACTATAGTCTGATTATGAGTATTTTAAAATTTAATATAATCTAATTACAAGTACCTAATTTTTGGAATTTGATTACGTAATCCAGATTACATATAATCAGTTACTACCCAGCACTGTATATACAAATGTAATATATACATTAATATACAATTACAATACAATTCAGTGCACTTTTTTTTTTTACAAGGGTGGTGGAATTTTTTTTCTATCCAGCTAAGCAAACATCACAGCTAAAAAAAAAAAACATTCAGTTGACTGGGAACAATAAAATACTAATTTACAACAGTAGAACTGTGTGGTAGAAATTATTTTTTTTTACAAGGGTGGTGGAATTTTTTTTCTATCCAGCTAAGCAAACATCACAGCTAAAAAAAAAAAAAACATTCAGTTGACTGGGAACAATAAAATACTAATTTACAACAGTAGAACTGTGTGGTAGAAATGATGTCACGGTTATTACAATCATAATCTTTGAAAAAAAAACAAAAAACGTTTTTTTTCCCCAAAAACAACTTTTACGTAAAATATTGAAAAAGTGTTTATTGGTTATTCTATCATAAGTGAACAATTATACAACACCACAAAAATTTAGGATGTGACCCTTTTAAATGCAGTTAAGTGCATTATTATGTTATCATCATTATCTTCTACATCAGTTTTAGGGATTTCAGTTTTTTTGTACCTTGCAGTTGCTCAATGAGAGTCCAGGCCATACGTGAACCTTGAGCATCAAACACGACATGACCCTACGAAACACAAATGCATAAATATAAAAAGTTGATACAAAATCATCATTTATGAAATCCATTTGTGACTCATCATGAAAACAGAAGCATAAAAGGCAAAGATCTGTGGAAAATAAAGGCTGAATCATCCCATAATGAGTTTGAACTCATTGTTATCATAAAAATGTGATCATCTGAGACTGATGAGTTTCTCTATGAGTTTAAGATTTAAAAGGCTCTCTGACAGGTCTGAGAAATTATCGTCTGGAGTATTTTATCTCATTGTTATCTGACAGCTATTTCTGATGTTTTTCAGAAAAGTTATTCATCAACTCACAGACACTCCTTCAAACGAGCTGGTGTTGAGGGCTCGGTAAATCTCAGCAGTGATTTCCTTGTTGTTGTAGTTGAAATCCTCCAATGCCCAGCTTTTGGCCCTCAGAGGGGCCACTGTTTTATTGAGGGCCAGTGCAAGAGCCCACACAGCATCATATGCCAGTGGAGCTTCCTGAAATCCACCCGTTTCTTCCGGATTCTTTCCCCCAAGACGTGACATCAGCTGGGCCAGGAACTCTTGCGAGGTCTGTGGAGGGATTTTTATAGGCAGTTTTAACATAAGCATGATCCAATGTAAAAGTCCTTGTCTGAATTAGTCATAAGATCCACTCACCAGGTTGGAGGCACCGCGGACGGTCTCCGGGTTTAGCATGACGATTTCAGTAGTGACGTGCCCTTCCACGGCTTCCGTCATGTTCTCCACTGTGCAATTGATGGCTGGATCTTTGATCTTAAACCAGTTGTCTGCGTACCAGCCGATGAGGAACCATACGTACTTCTTACCATAGAGTTTCTCTTTGAAGACCTGCCAAAGATGACACCATGTTTTCAAGGTTAGTGCTTAAGCAATAATCTTATTCAATATTTTAATCTCAGTTAAGCCACAGTGAGTTAACTCAAACTGAGTAGAAACATCGAGCTGAACTGATATAAATAAATTGACAGTTCAGATGTACTTGTAAAAAAGAACTGTAATTGTCACTTGCCTCGCAAAACACCTTTCTGGCTTCAGTCTCGTAAAAGAGGCCGACTATGATTCTAGCATCTTGACGCTGGAAACGTATTCGAGAAAAGAAATCAAGACACAGAAACATCCCACAATGTGTCACTAGCCTGATTTACATCCACATATTTTACGCAAATTTGGGATCATGCATAAAAACACTGGATAGAAACGGCATTAAAGATATTTGAGAATCAATTACAATTTCTTTCTTCATAATTTTCCCATAGGTGGAAACATAGCTACAGACAACAAATAGCAAGAATGATTATTAATAATGACTTTACCACAGTTTATTAATTTATTTGCAATTTATACTAACACTAACAGTATACCAACACTAACATAAGGAATAAATATATATAAATATTATATTGATTATATATAAATTCTGATTTGATCAGCTGCAGTTAAAGCTGCTATGTTGTTTGGTAACCACAAACAGCCTGTAATGAACTACATTAGTTGCTAGGATTATTTTTTATTTTGATAACTATTTATTATAAATATGACTCTCTATTGAACATTTCTACATAAAAGCAATAAGCCACTTGAGTATGTGGGTTACGCTGATTTAGTCATGTGTAAGAACACTTCTTGTGACTTCCTGCTTTAGTTCGTGACATGCTTTAAAGGTGAAGTATGTCATTTCTGAACCATTAGCATTACCAAACAGAATAGCACAAATAATGACAATTTTCAAAAAGCTTTTCTAAACATTTTCCAGAGAAATCATACAGGATTCCTTATAGTTGATGTGCATATTGATGTGAAAGGAGAAAATATTGTAGCAGTGAAATTACACACATGACCTTTAAAAACATTGAAGATTTTATATTCAGAGGAATTATATAAGGCTAGGCATATGCCAAAATATTTTAAGCCAAGCATTTAAAAAGACAGTCTCATGAGATCTTCATGCAATATCAGTTTACAATAAAAAGTGCTGTCTAATTATTCAATAATAACTGTCAGCAGTGACCGAGACAGTATCCGAACCGTCACTTGATCTGACAGAGGGGACCGATCCTTCAGACTGTTGATTTATTTCACATAAGATTTTCATGCGCTCTGCCTGCTAGCTACCCGTCACGGGCTGAGGAGAGGAAGTGAGCGGCTGGTGAATTTTTCATCAAAGCACCTTCAGGTTTTTGACAGCCACTGCGGGATCCGTGAGGAAGCTCTGTCTAACGCTTATCTCGATTCCGGCCTCCTTCACACGCTCCTCCAGATCATCCAAAGTCTGGAGAGAGAAAAAAAGAGAGCAGGAGTGACAGGACAGGAGTGATGTTTCTGGAGAGCGGAGGACAGGCAAGAAGAGCGCACATGAAAAGATCAAGGAGCGAGTGAAAGAGAAGAACAAAAGGAGGCCATGAGATGAATGGTCAAAGTGCACACCAAAGTAAAAGATATAGAGAAAAAGAACACAGTCCAGAAAGAAAGATGAATGGAAAAAAGATGGAGATATGAGCTCCGTTACAAAACCCTTTTTAAGGCGATATAAGTGCAATCCGGAAACAAAATTATTATCCAAAAATATTTATGCTTTTTATAATATATAAATAATAAAAAAAAACTCATAATTCATTTAATATATAATAGTATCCTCAAGTATCATTAAAAAAAGTTGTTAACTATAATATAAAGATCAGGGTTATTATTATTGTTAACTAAAACGAAAACTAACATCAAACGCATAAAAAAAAACATTTTCATTACATTAAATAAAATTTACTTATTTTATTTCAGCTAGTTTCCAAAGCAACATTTCTCAAATTAAAATTCAACAGAAAACTGTATAGACATATTTAAATAATAATAATATTGATGCCAAAAACACACAACAAATGACTCAAATTAATTCAAAATATTAACAACAACTGAAAAACTGATATACATAATATAAACTTATAATAAAATTAAAATGTATTAAATAGTTAAAATCAAAATATTATATATAAACAATTGAATAGATATACTCGTGATTCTTTCAATATATAACTATCAATAAAAATAAAAATAGTTAACTATAATATAAAAATAGCATGCGTGTATATCATTACATGATTGATATACTCACTCAGGAGTGCTATTTATGATGCCTATGTAGAGCTTTGCAAATCATTCTATGTAGGCAACGAGGCAGTGTATTTTTGAAAAGGTGCCAACGAGACCTCGTGATTCTTTCAATATATAACTATCAATAAAAATAAAAATAGTTAACTATAATATTAAAATAGCATGCGTGTATATCATTACATTTCATTACATGATTGATATACTCACTCAGGAGTGCTATTTATGATGCCTATGTAGAGCTTTGCAAATCATTCTATGTAGGCAACGAGGCAGTGTATTTTTGAAAAGGTGCCAATGAGATACCCGACATCAATGAATGGCGGAATATGGAGAAAGAAAGAGGATGTGAACAGGAGAGAAGGACTGGGATGAAAGTAAATGAGAAAAAGAGATGAGCTGGTGAAGAGATGGAGAGGGATCATTAGCCTAGCGGAATTACACTAGCTCAATACTGAATCCACGCACGAGAGATTTATGACTTGGTCAATATTCCTAGCAGCCAACATGAAGAAAAATGACTTTAAGAGTCCTTCATCACTTAAGGAGAGAATAATCAACCACGGTCTTTGCCATTCACTCTGAGGCATTAACCTTAGAGTAAAGGGGCAGCTAAGCTCACTAACAGTTTTAAGATGTACAGGAAACCACTTTTCTGGAAAATTACTTCCTTTAAAGGGGTCATACCATTTTTTTTACATTTAATTTCCCCCTGAGGTCTACTTATAGCGTGCATCAAAGTTTTTTGCGCAAACACAGTCATAATTAATTTTTTATGACCATTTTCCATTTTCAATTTCTTAGTGACCTTTCAAATTTGTATGCCGTTTTTTGTTGCTGTGTGTTTAAAGGGTTAGTTCACCCAAAAATTTAAATTCTGTCATTAATTACTCACCCTCATGTCGTTTCAAACCCGTAAGACCTTCGTTCATCTTCGCAACACAAATTAAGATATTTTTGATGGAATCTGAGAGCTGTCTGACCCTGCATAGACAGCAATGCAACTGAAATGTTCTCAAGTCCAGAAACGTAGCAAGGAGATCTGTAAAATAATCCATGTGACATCAGGGGTTCAACCGTAATTTTACGAAGCTACAAGAATAATTTTTGTGTGCAAAATAAAAATAAAAACGACTTTATTCAACAATTTGTCTCCTCCGTGTCACCCTGGTGCCATTTTGGAGAGTATCAGCTGGACGTAAACAGTCCAAACGTTTTCGTTCAGATCAAATCACAACAACGTAGCAAACAGATCCGGCATGACGCAGCTGACACAATTAATAATTAATGACAGAATTTTCATTTTTGAAAATGAAAATTCTGTCATTAATTGCGTTGCTGTGTATGCAGGGTCAGAATGCTCTCGGACTTCATCAAAAATATCTTAATTTGTGTCCCGAAGATGAACGAAGATCTTATGGGTTTGGAACGACATGAGGGTTGAGTAATTAATCAGAATTTTCATTTTTGAGTGAACTATTCCTTTAAAGTTTCAAGATGCATTTCACACAGTGAGCTGTATTTGAGGTTTAACTAAGAGGACGGTCTCAACCAAAATCTTATTCGTCACCAGAAATCTTCAGAACCTGGTAGCAGTTGGAAAAGCACAGCATGAATATACAGAGTATGATAAATAAGAGAGAATGTTTTGGATGTAGGACTGACTGAGGTAAAGACTTCAGTGGTCTGCTGGATGGTGGCAATCTTTGTCCATCCCCACTTCTGGAAGAGCCGCACACGTGTGGGATTATGCAGAGTTGCTGACGGGTGCGTACGGAAGAAAGTGGGAAAGCGCTGGCGGTTGGATAAAGCTGGAGAACTGGAGCCGTATGAAAACTACAGAGAGAGAGGGAGACAGCAGTTAAAAAGGTGGAAGGATAGAGAGAGCATATTGGAAAGATTTACTCAGCTATATGGTTGACCTTATTTGATACCCCTGAAAAGAACGAAACACAAAGCAAAAGCAGAGCAAAAATATTAGTCAGATTTCTGCACACACTGGAAGAAGGGTAAATGTCAACCCAGTGAAGCCAGAAACTTGAATAAATAAGCCAATCTGTTTCTACATCCAATGTTGACGTGTCAGTACTTAGAAAGGCACAACGTAGGAATGCTAACTGCTTTCTGCTTCAGAAATAAACCTTTGTATTTCAAGCAATGAACCAGGTTGCCTGATGAAAAAGAATTAAATGAGTAGGCTACTTATTATAACACTTTATTTTAAGGTGTCCTTGTTACACGTTACATGTACTTACTATTATAATAACAATAAATTATGCATAATTATATACAAGTAACCCTTAACCAAACCCTAATCCTAACCATAACCATATAGTAAGTACATGTAGTTCATTAATATTACTCTGTACTTAACTGTATAATTACACTGTAACAAGGACACCTTAAAATAACCCATTTTTAAAGTAACTGTACTTATAATGTAATACTTTACTTATTAAAACACCTCAGTTTACTTTCACTTTAAAGTACATTTTAAGGCATCATGTGTTAATAATATTTTCATGCTTTAAAGTAGTACACTTCGTTTGATATGTTGGCATAACATAAAACAGAATTTGATTATAATTTTAACTGTGTTATGCTATATTACATTTAATTTAATATATTTAAAATGTAATCAATTGCAACTTTATACATTAATGTAACATTACAAATGTGTTATTTTAATATAGCCTATATATATAAATAAATGATATCAACTTTCAATAGAAATGACAGAAACGCTGCATTACATACTGTATAAAGATTAAAAAATGCACTTTAAAAGGTCAAAAATGTATAATTTTACCATTTAGTAAAATTTTAACTAGAATATATTTTCATTTAACTGCAATTAACTCACATTGAAGTGATGGAAAACATTACATTTAGTTTGCACTTAAAGGGTTAGTTCACCCAAAAATGAAAATTAGGCTGCGTTTTACTCACCCCCGAGGCATCCTAGGTGTATATGACATTCTTCTTTCAGACGAATCCAGTCGGAGTTATATAAAAAATAGTCTTTGATCTTTCAAGCTGTTTAATGCCACTCAGCGGGTGTTGCATGCATCAGTCCAAAAGAACTTAAATAAAAATCGCCCATCCATAAAAAAAAGTGTCTCACACGGCTCCGGGGGGTGAATCGGTGCGTTTTTTTAAGAAAAATATCCATATTCAAAACGTAATAATCACTTGAATCTAGCTTGCGCTCACTGTTGTAAACAGAAGCAGTTCCGGGGGAATGACGTATGAGGTTGGCTTTGTGCATGCGCCGCTCAGAAGTAACGAACGCGGAAGTGCAGGGGAGAGATCAAACTGTCACTTATTAGAAGAACAAAACGAGGATTTGTAAAGAAGAATGTCGGAGGATTTTGATATAAGCCAAGAGGAGACTGGTTTTCCTTTGCTAAAGTAAGGAAACTTTGCTTCCTTTGATCTTGTAAGCAAACGTTGGTTTTCAGGAGACTCACCGGCGCATGCGCAACGCTGACCTCATACATCATGCTCCCAGCAACTGCAACTGCTTCTGTGTACAACTGCTGGCACAAGCTAGATTCAAGTGATTATTACGTTTTGAATATGGATATTTTTCTTACAAAAACGCATCGATTCGCTACAGAAGGCCTTTGTTCAACCCCCGGAGCCATGTGAGGCACTTTTTTTTTATGGATGGGCAATTTTTATTTAAGTTCTTTTGGACTGAAGCAATGCAACACCCGCTGAGTGCCATGAAACAGCTTAAAAGATCAAAGACAATTTTTAATATAACTCCGACTGGATTCGTCTGAAAGAAGAATGTCATATACACCTAGGATGCCTCGGGGGTGAGTATAACGCAGCCTAATTTTCATTTTTGGGTGAACTAACCCTTTAAGTATATATTATTTCCATAACAAGAACTCTTTTTTAAAGTATGCTCAAGTGTAATTCTTTTTCACAAGGGTTGATTTGCCTACACTGTCTCGTATAAACAGCTATTCATTTTTCATGAGCATCTCTGTCATAATCTACTAGAGTACAAACCCATCTGTCAAAAAAGTAACTGAAGTCTTACAGGTTTCCTTGGAGAGTTGATTTGTTATAAGTAAACTCACAATTCGCCTTTTCCAACTTTTTCTAAATTACATGCAGCAAACTCAACTTTTCCACATAAGTAAACTCATTTGAAAGTCAAGAACAAAGACAGTGTTGAGAACATTACTTTTCAAATTCCTGCAAACCTCGGTGGATGCCAGATAGAAAGAGAATAATTGGAAAACTTAATTATTTTGTCAAATTGCAAAGAGTATCTTGTGTATTTTATTCTTTTTTTTACACTTTCTCATTCGGTTCTCTGACTTCCTTGAGTGCCTCTTTTGACAGTTTTAATTTGTCAGCTTCTTCAAAAGTGTCAACAAACTACAGAAAGTCAATAAGATCACAAGTCCAAATTCTTTTTGTTCCTTGACCCAAAAACAACACAGAACTGCTTGTTATATGTAGCACTTTTGCACTGAAATCTCTAATCTAGTTGCAGTTAAGGACAGTGAAACTGTTTTATCATTTTACCATTTTGTTTAATCAGGAATGTATAGAGGCCTGTTTCTGTCACAGAATAAAATATAAATATGTAATTGTGACTTTTTAATCCCACAACTCTTGACTTTTTTCTTGCAAATCTGAGTTTACATCTCCCAATTCAGACTTTTTTCCTCTGATTTTTTTTTTATGTCTCGCAATTCAGACTTTTTTTTCACAATTGCAAGTTTACACCTCACAATTCTGAGAAAAGACGATTGAAGTGTGAGATAAAAAGTCGCAATTATCTTTTTTATGTTTTTAATTCCATGGCAAAAACAAGCTTCAGTAGGAATGACGATAAACCTACCTCCCAATACAAAACTCTCTAACATTCTACAGTCAAATTCAGGTGAATGGAGAAACCAATGATCAACAATGCAGATGTAAATAGTTCAGACCGAGATGTACACATAGCAAACACACCACTATAAGGTTCCACATGCGTGCTGCCTCGGCCACAAGCGTAGACACAGAGCTGCAACCTGGCATCAAGACGATCTTTATGGGCTCTGTGTACAGCAAGTCGTACAGCAGCTTAGTGGCCTCTCCTGGATCACACTGAAGGAAAGAGAAAAAGAACATCAAGACAGTCATAATTAGCCTACTACTTTGAAAAAGTTAACTGAAGCTCACAGGATGTAAAAGCTTCACTTGAGCATGTCATAATCAATAAAGGATCAATGAAATCAGCACAGTATCTCATGGCCCAGAAAAAACGAACTGCAGTGATGCTGTAACCAAAGACCTCTCGTGCTGCAGTTCACTGTGACAAATACAACAGGAAGTGATTCACAAATGAGGGGGTGACTGCTCGCACGCCGCAGATGCAGTCGCACTGAAATGGTGCCCTTGGTAACGATCAGCAGAAACACTTAATTAGGAGAGGCATGCATGCTTTTATTTTCGTTAAAGTTAGAACTAAATGACACAGTGCTGGTCTCAAAATCGATGACAGTCAGAAAGCAACCACTTTGGATCCGTCTTACCAGTAGTTACTAGGAATATCTAATAATAATATTTTTGTCAGATATCACTTGTCGTATCAATCTAGAACATTTCTCAAAGAGCCATGTTGTTTCCTTGCTCCAGTCTCTCTTGGCGTCCCCAGGGAGCTGAGGCGTTTTCATTCAGTGCACGGCCTCGGAGAAGCAGCCATCGAGAGGAACTGAAGACGCTTGACGTGACGGAGGCATCTGTGTTCTTAAAGTCCCCGGGGCTGAAGGTTATGCAGGTCTCTGGACCAGAATACTGAACGCCGACTAAAAAAAGGGGGCAAGATGCTCCTTCTCTCACTGCTGTTGGACACAAGGACAATTTTGTTTTTGTTGGGTCTGACATAACGGTACAGGGTTGGGCTAAAAAAAAATCAGAATTGAAGAATTGGGTACTTATCAGTTCACAAGTCTTTGAATTTGAATAGATTTGACTACACTATGTATCTATACTCTTGTGAAAATAAATGCACTTAACTGTATTGAATGTGCGCTTGTAGTGAACTTCAACTCTTAAAAGTGTATTTAACAACTGTACTTGCAGATAATATAATATAATATTAATGAAATAAAAGGCCACTTACTTACTAAGTTTCTTAACACACTTAAGATTGCACTGACGGTAGCCATTATCTCCCATAGTATTTTTTTCAATACTATACAAGTCAATAGCTACCGTCGGGTATTAGGTTACCAACATTCTTCAATATATCTTATTTTGTGTCCAACAGAAGAAAAAACTCATACAGGTTTGGAACAAGTGGAAGGTGAGTAAATGATGACAGAGTAAATGAAAGAGTAAATGATGGGTGAACTATCCCTTTACAGAACAAGTTCAATCATTATGTTTTAATAAGCTTTATTGTACTTTAAAGAATTACACTTATTTTGATTAAGGATCCATTTTTAAGGGTTATTTTTTCTTTTAGCCTACTACTTTGAAAAAGTTAACTGAAGCTCACAGGATGTAAAAGCTTCACTTGAGCATGTCATAATCAATAAAGGATCAATGAAATCAGCACAGTATCTCATGGCCCAGAAAAAACGAACTGCAGTGATGCTGTAACCAAAGACCTCTCGTGCTGCAGTTCACTGTGACAAATACAACAGGAAGTGATTCACAAATGAGGGGGTGACTGCTCGCACGCCGCAGATGCAGTCGCACTGAAATGGTGCCCTTGGTAACGATCAGCAGAAACACTTAATTAGGAGAGGCATGCATGCTTTTATTTTCGTTAAAGTTAGAACTAAATGACACAGTGCTGGTCTCAAAATCGATGACAGTCAGAAAGCAACCACTTTGGATCCGTCTTACCAGTAGTTACTAGGAATATCTAATAATAATATTTTTGTCAGATATCACTTGTCGTATCAATCTAGAACATTTCTCAAAGAGCCATGTTGTTTCCTTGCTCCAGTCTCTCTTGGCGTCCCCAGGGAGCTGAGGCGTTTTCATTCAGTGCACGGCCTCGGAGAAGCAGCCATCGAGAGGAACTGAAGACGCTTGACGTGACGGAGGCATCTGTGTTCTTAAAGTCCCCGGGGCTGAAGGTTATGCAGGTCTCTGGACCAGAATACTGAACGCCGACTAAAAAAAGGGGGCAAGATGCTCCTTCTCTCACTGCTGTTGGACACAAGGACAATTTTGTTTTTGTTGGGTCTGACATAACGGTACAGGGTTGGGCTAAAAAAAAATCAGAATTGAAGAATTGGGTACTTATCAGTTCACAAGTCTTTGAATTTGAATAGATTTGACTACACTATGTATCTATACTCTTGTGAAAATAAATGCACTTAACTGTATTGAATGTGCGCTTGTAGTGAACTTCAACTCTTAAAAGTGTATTTAACAACTGTACTTGCAGATAATATAATATAATATTAATGAAATAAAAGGCCACTTACTTACTAAGTTTCTTAACACACTTAAGATTGCACTGACGGTAGCCATTATCTCCCATAGTATTTTTTTCAATACTATACAAGTCAATAGCTACCGTCGGGTATTAGGTTACCAACATTCTTCAATATATCTTATTTTGTGTCCAACAGAAGAAAAAACTCATACAGGTTTGGAACAAGTGGAAGGTGAGTAAATGATGACAGAGTAAATGAAAGAGTAAATGATGGGTGAACTATCCCTTTACAGAACAAGTTCAATCATTATGTTTTAATAAGCTTTATTGTACTTTAAAGAATTACACTTATTTTGATTAAGGATCCATTTTTAAGGGTTATTTTTTCTTTTTCATTCCATTGATGTATGGTTTGTTAGGATAGGACAATATTTGGCCGAGATACAACTATTTGAAAATCTGAAATCTGAGGGTGCAAAAAAAAATTTTTTTTAAATCTAAATATTGAGAAAATTGCCTTTAAAGTTGTCCAAATTAATTTCTTAGCAATAAATATTACTAATAAAAATTTAAGTTTTGATATATTTACGGCAGGAAATTTACAAAATATCTTCATGGAACAACATGGTAATCATGAAATTACATATAGTGTACTTAAATGAACTTAAGTCCCACTTAAGTGGGTCAAAACAAGTTATGCTAATTGCATCTAATATGAATCTAAAGTATAATACATTTTTATTTAATTGCAATTACCATGGCATTAAATGCCTGAAAACATTACATTCAGTTCGTACTTAAATATATATTTTTTAAGTATATTATTTGCATAATAAGTACTTTGCTAAAGTGTATCTACATTTTTTTACACAAACAAGGCTTTGTCAAGCCACTTCAAATTTTGTCTTGACATACTTTGCTATTCTAGTTAAAAATACTGATTCATTTTAATTCTACATAGATTTAAATTCAAATTGCAATTCTGCATCCTGTTCCATTTTTTAAGTTCAAATTTAATGTGGCCTGATCCCATTCCTTATTTCTCACAAATAATTTCCACTACTTATACTTATAAAGTGTTTTGACTGAGTCATTGAAGGATATTTGGCAAACACAAGCACAGTGTGCGTAAAAATAAAGACATTGACGCATACAGAGCAAGCTGCTAGCCAGATCTGTAGCTTCGACTTTGTTTACTATACAGATTCAAATGCTAAATGTCTCATCCCAATGAAGCAAAACTCGTCTTCCCGTGACTCAGACCATGAATGAGTCTTTATCTGCTGTTCTGCCTCACATTAACTTGCAAGTGTTGGTTTGTCATTTCTAAGCTGCGATTCTGCATCCCTGAACCCAGATGAGAATGAATAAAGCATGTATTTGGATATGGAAATCCTTCTTATTACAATCTGGATACAACAGATGCCAATTAAAACAGTGAAAGCACAAGTGTCTCATCAGGGCATGAGCCTCTCTCTCTCTCTCTCTACCTCGGTCTCACTCTATCACAGTTAATAATTGATCAAAGTTTTCAGGCTGGGCTTTGATATAACCATGGCAACCGTCTGGAGAGGGAGAGTGTATCTGTGCAAGGGGGTTCCTGTAAATATTTGCTCTAAAACACACACAAGATTGACCACAGCTTCTGACACCAGAGTCTAAGACTGTCTTTGAGATTTCCATTTATGACCAGTATCATAGCATGAATCAAAAGTCAGATGTGTTTGTATTCATTTTTATTATGAAATGTGCAATGTTGTATCATTCTAAAAAGTTGCAGGCTAATGCTGTTATTTTAGTTTACCATAAATGCTTATCAGTACATATCGCAGTACACTTTCAGCATGTTTCAAATACAAAAGAATTATGAAATGACATATAATATTGCACTTAAGTCCTATAAGTTAGTCAAAACAAGTTCAGCTAACTGTATTTAATATACCTTTTAATTAAAAAAAATAGTATAATATAATTTCATTGTATTTCTAATACATTATAAATGTAATATAAATTTTATTAAAATTGCATTTTATATACATTTTTTTATTTTCTTAAATGTTATTTTATTATATACATTTTTTTAAAAACTCATTTTACACTTAAGTATATTCTTTTAAAGTGTATTATTTACATAACAATATCTTTTCTTTTTTAAAGTATGCTATGTAATCTAATTTTTTTAAACTTTTAAACATGGGTTGTCTTGACAGACTTTGTTATTCTAGTTTTCAAAAATACAGTTAATATGAATTTCTCCGAATTCCAATTTGTTTTAATTCTAATTTATTAGATTCAGAAATCTAATTCTGCATCCTGTTTCTTTTCTCAGTTCAAATTTAATGTGGCCTGATCCCATTCTTTCTTTCTAACAATTTCCATTGCATATCTGGCTAATAAAATAAAGCTCACAAGTCTTTTGATTAGTGACAACAGTGATTATTACTGTTGCATGCTAATGCTGTTCTCATACTTTTAAACAAGCTAAATATTAAATTTGTTGTGTAATTCCATGCTGTTTGTATTACGGCTGTTTGTATGTACAGTAAATGATGCCTCAAATCATACAGCTTATTAAACAGAGCTTTGATATTACTTGTCTAAGTGATCAGACTAACCATTTTTGCCTGGCAGATGATAAAATGTGGGGACAAAAAATAATAAATCCCATAGGCTTACACCAAAGAAAGAACCCAAGTCATATTTAGAAAATCATAGAAACGTAGCGTATAAGTTTTGCATGGACAAGCACCCCTTACTAAAATCCATTTAGCCTCATTTTAATATGACACATAAAAAAAGGAAGGAAAAAATGAAAAGAACAAATGGATTAGAAAAGCACTGATCTGTGTTCTGCTGCCAGAGCATGGCAGGGGTTATTATAACACTCATTTATTAAATAAATATTTATCAAATGTCAAATGAAATTGGAATTTTGAGGTGACTTCCATGTTTCTATGCAAACATTGCTCGGCGTGATAATTGGCTATTTGAGAGAGATTAAAAGAATGCCCCAAACATGCCTGAGATTCTTTGAACAATAATTAAATGCAAAATCCACATCAAATTTGATTTTCTCCCTTTGTAATTACATTTCTGACACCCGAAAGCAATTTTGATTAGAATCTCATCCAGGTATGAAGTGCTCCCCAATCAAGAGGAAATGCTCAAAATATCTGTCGGCTTAAATGTCAACGAGTCGGAGCACTTCACACCTGCTCTTCCATCTCCACGGCATACTAACACATGACATTTATACAATCTTCTGATATTGCATTCTTCTACTTGTGCACCTGCAGTATGCCTTAGACTTTAATTAAGATTAATGCTAAATTAAAAGAGATTCGAGTCATGGGTGGAATTGGGTGACATTTCTAGAAAGCAGTTAATAATAACTGGAATCGTACATAGCATTTTTATTAAATCATGAATTAAGGTGAATCAAATCAAGATTATTGCAGTACTGTTAATATTGCCTTTCGTATGATAAATTGCTTGTGCTTTTTCTCATTTAAAAGTCACTTTGGATAAAAGTATCTGGTAAATGATTAAATGTACCCTGATAATCAAAATGTAGTATGAGAAAAGAAAAAACACAATTAGACCCCTTCGTCCTATTTTTTTTTTTACATTTATTTATTTTTTGTATAGAATACAGTTTCAATACAATAATTACATATCATAATAAAACAATTAATTATTGTATTTAAAAAAGTTCCAACTGTCACATTTTACCCCATATTTGACCCTGAAATATTTTACAAAGCCCCTTTATATGTAATTTTTTTTCTTTCCAACATAAATTGTGTAACTCCCAATTAATATAATTTTTTTAACACAACACATTTTGGTATCTCATTAGGAGATTAAAAGATATAAGTAATTGATCTAATTATGACATGAAATGCACAAAAATATTTCTACAAATATTTAGTAACTTAATTTGTATGCTCTTAATTAAGTTTGCATATGTGCTAATATGATCGCTAAGGAAAATCCACCAGATGCACTGGTTAATCGAATTTCATTTTCATGCAAGACTAAAAACAACACAGATGCATGTGTTTTTCCCACTTTTAATATAATAAACAAGTGTAATTTAAATATTATTTAAATCAATAAAAAATAGTGATTTTGAACCCATATTTAAAGAAACCGTTTACAAAGGCCCTTTAGATGTAGTTTTCTCTTTTCCGCACAAATTGTACACCTTTTTTTTTTTTTTTACATAACACATTTTGGGATCAGAAAAAAAGTATCTCTCACACACCCATTGTATCCTAAATATTAAGATTTTTAAATGCTTTTCAATGTGGGTCAAATTCAACTCAAGGATCACACTTTCTCAAGCCAACAGGAGGTTTAACGAACTAACTGGGTCTACAGTGATCATCTTGACACATTACAAACGGTTACAATTCAACTCAATCGTGAGTGGTCAGACAGGTGCTGCAGATACACAGGAGTCTGCAGAAGGACCTCCTTATCCTTACAAGATCTACAGAGATGCAAGTTTGTTTGAACTGTGGTTTCACTGGTGGCTGTTGCCATGCCAACCCTCCTCTCCCTGATTCTTCCTCTATATTGAGTGTGATTGCAATGCAGAGTGCGGTTCACCAATCACAACCATGATACAACACATCTCTGTCCACTTAGAGCACTCTTTAACTGTTTCCTCACCTACAGGAGGTCAGAGCCGTCACGCCACACCGGTAAACTAAACTCAACTTCTGAAAGTTCTACATATTTCTTGGTGGTCTCACATTTTTGCATATATTTACTATCATACATTTTTGGTATCAAACCAGCACTGGCATATTTGAGGATATAAATGATTGAAGGGTTTAACAGCACTGTTATTTGTGGCTTTTGACAGAATTGAAACTCAGGACACACAACTTTCTACAAAAGGCAGAAAAAAATCTCTCTCCACTTATGCATACTGCACAAAAAATTATATTTAAAAATAAATAGACTGAGGAATACACTTTGGAGGTGATCTTGGAAAACTCTACAACGCTAAAGGCAAACATAAGCATTTAGGGTGCATGAGTATTTTTAGGAAGCCAAATTACTTTATGCAGCTGAAGCCTTACAGGCTGTTGATAACAGCCAAGTGCAGTGACTTGTGAAATATTAATGTGCCAACAACTGCAATGTCAACTTGACACCAACTCCTGAATCTCAAGATACAATCACTGCCACAACATAAATGAAGCACCTGCAAAACGCTGATAATTTCTACCATCTTAAATTAACACCTGCTACTTATCTTTGTTTCAGTGCTTGAACGTGAAATACTTGAATAAATTAACAGAAGGTAAAGAGGGCACTGGCATTTCTTCTTTCTTAGCAAAAGCTACATGGTTGAAAAACAGTAATGCTTGCGTAATGCAATTAAACTAGTTAAGATGACAGTGGGGTTAGAAAATTAAACGGATATAGAATAAAGACTTTATCTGCAGGAACTATGGCATGAAATATATTAGAAGTATTCAGTAACTTACTTTGTATACTATTGCATAATTAAGTTTGAATAAGTGCTAATATGATTTCCAAGAGAAGTACATGGTGGTAAACTCAATTTCATTGTCATGCAAAATTTTATAATAAAAAAAAACACTACAAACGCATGTGCTGGGCAGGGTTATTAGTTAACTATAAATAAAACCATAAAAATATATGTGAAATCTTGAAATACATGTTAAAATACACATTGAAATAAAATACACATTAAGAAAAACTAGTCGCCAAGTCAACATTTCTCACTTTAAGTTTATCTTGAAGTACAAAAATAACTAAAACTCAACAAAAAAATTATAATAAATAGAATAATAAATATAAACAGAAAAAAACGAAAACTACTAAAAATGACAAAAAAAGGATTTACTCAAATTAAAATGAAAACAGTAAATGTAAAAAATAAAAACTGGTTCAAAATATAAACTATAATAAAATCTCAATAATACTAAAATAACACTGATTATGGAACAGTTTGTTTTTGCTTTAATTCTGGATTAATTTTGCACATTTGTGGCAGAAGCTTAATAACTGATGCAGATGTAAGTATTATGTATCTATCAACTATCTATCAACTGCAATTTTAAGCGCAATTATATAATTAAATGTTGAGCAAATCAACATGAACTTATATATATATATATATATATATATATAAAATTTAATAATTAATTAAATAATTAATAATTAATTAATTTATAATAATTTATGCGTTTAGCAGACGCTTTTATCCAAAGCGACTTACAGTGCATTCAGGCTATACATTTTTTACCAGTATGTGTGGAACCCACGACCTTTTGCGATATAGTATATATATATATATATATATATATATATATATATATATATATACACACAAATAATTTTATATACATAAATTTATATTTACATTACATTACAGTAATATGGACACTGTAAATGTAAAATGTTATGTGCTCACCATACTGTCGTAATGAATGAGCTCCAGCTCGTAGTCCGGCAGAATATCGGTCCGGTTGTTCACGAGATCCAAAGCCATCTGGGCTGCGGGGAGACACGCTTGACCACCGGGCCATCCTCCACTCATGGGAAACAGAGCTCCGATGTACAGTTTCTTCTTGCCTGCAACCGCACACGGCCAGGAGAGAAAGATAAGCAGTGCGTAAAGGAGAGCCAAGCTTCTCCAAACTCTCCCCAAGGTCCTGATCCTCTCCGTCGATGCCATTAATATCCGATTTGACATTTATACGTTTTGAACTTAAAATGTGCGGTTGTGTCCGATGCCGAAAGTGTCCGCACGTGCGACGAGTCAGAGTAAGAGAACCGTGCACGGAACGCGTAAAAACAGTAGTGCTGAACACTTTAAGCGCAATATGAAATTGCAGGCGGTTTAACCACAGTCTGGATGCTCGTTGGGATTTATATGTTTACAGTAGTTATAATTTCATATCTGATATCAGTCAGCCATGGCTATGAGCTTTTAGCGTCGTAACACACTTAAGACATCTCATCTTGCGCGCTTTCTTGGAACTTATTTAGAGCGTCTTGAATAGCTCAGAATCTTCAGACCCCGTCTAATCTTAAGAATCTTTTACAATTTGCAGACCTTTCAGAATCTTTTAGAGGCTTCAGAACCTTTTGAAATATAATCTTCAGAATCTGTTAGAATCTTTTAATTGTTAGGAATCTTTTAGAATCTTTAGACTCTTTTGAATCTTCTGAAGTACTTTTTTAGAATCTTTAGAATCTTCCATCTTTACAATCTCTGAAATGTGCAGAATCTTTAACAACCATCGAAATATGCTGAATATTTTATAATCTTCAGAGTCTTTAGAATCTTCTCAGCAGTTTCTACTCGGACACTAAATCACTATGTCCTGTCACAGAATGCGCTTCAACACAAACCAGCTGTCCAAACATGTAAAAGCACCAAGCTACAGAAAACACGCTTTGAATGTTGGGTAAAAACAAATGCGCCATCGGGCAGTTATTGTCTCTTTCTCTTTCTCTCTCACAGTCACAGACGGTGTGTTTGTAGCGCAGCTATGCTCATGGTTCACTACAGGAGAGAAAAACAGGTGGTGTTGCGCGACATTGACGGTCAGAACGCGCTCCGCTGATCCTCTGGCGTTGCTTTATTTACCACCCCGCGTAAATTTTAAGCTGTTTATTCCGGCATCTGATCAGAATATTAAAAAATAACAATTGTGCTGCGGCATAATCCTTTAATCCGCCGGGAGGAGAGGGGGAGAGACTGACCACCAAACGCAGTACACTGAGATCCGCACTCAGAGCAGACAGCAGAGAACTGATGCACTGACAGACGAACAGTACTGTTGTATAGCGGGATGGGGCGGGGTTAAAGTAAACGCTCTCTTCTGAATCAGAATCACTTTCACTGAATCAAAAACATTTTCAAAATTCATGCAGTTGATTAACGCACGTTACAGCTAAACTCAGCTGGAAAAATTATGTGAACCTACTACATCTATCTATCTATCTATCTATCTATCTATCTATCTATCTATCTATCTATCTGTCTTTTTTTGTCTGTCTTTCTGTCTGTCTGTCTGTCTGCCTCTCTGTCTGTCTGTCTGTCCGTCTGTCTGTCTGTCCGTCTGTTTGTCTGTCCAGCTTTCTGCCTCTCTGTCTGTCCGTCTGTCTGTCTGTCCGTCTGTTTGTCTGTCCAGCTTTCTGCCTCTCTGTCTGTCTGTCTGGCTTTCTGTCTCTCTGTGTCTCTCTCTCTCTCACTCTCTTTCTTTCTTTCCATTTGTTTGTTCATCCATCCATCCATCAATCAATAGCAGAGTTCTTCCATCCATCAAAAATTCTTCAATCAAAATAGCCTTTAGAATTCTCTATCTATCTATCTATCTATCTATCTATCTATCTGTCTGTCTGTCTGTCTGTCTGTCTGTCTGTCTGTCTGTCCGTCTGTCCGTCTGTCCGTCTGTCCAGCTTTCTGTCTGTCTGTCTGCCGCTCTGTCTGCCGCTCTGTCTGTCTGTCTGACTTTCGGTCTCTCTGTGTCTCTCTCCCTCTCACTCTCTTTCTTTCTTTCCGTTTGTTTGTTCATCCATCCATCCATCAATCAATAGCTGAGTTCTTCCAGCCATCAAAAATTCTTCAATCAAAATAGCCTTTAGAATTATCTATCTATCTATCTATCTATCTATCTATCTATCTATCTATCTAACTATCTATCTATCTATCTATATGTCATCTATCTATCTATCTATCTATCTATCTATCTGTCTATCTATCTATCTATCTATCTATCTATCTATGTCTGTCAGTCTGTCTACTTGTTATTTCTGTTCGTCTGTCCATTTATCTGTCCTTCCATCAATCAAAAGATGAGTTCTTCCATCCATCCAAAAATCTATCAATCATATTTTTGCCTTAGAATTATATTGGAAAAACAAAAGAAATCTAAACCCTCTATGGATATATATGTAATACATGTATGTTCTTCAATTTGACTTTTTTTATTTGGTATCCATTTCACATCCTGAAAAATAAAAATCAAGAAAGATTCCTCTATCCATCCATCCATCGATTGATTCTATCCATGTGATCTCAGGGTGCACTTACATACACTTACATTGCCAATATTGACACCTTACACATAATGTAGGTAGCTTTTATTGCCCGCACAGCTCTCTGGATTCTACTATTCACTCTAAATACTCTAAAACAACAGAGTAGAGCTGAAGTTGATGACTTGAGGACCTGAGATGACAGTGACATTTGGAGCTCCCTTTGAATCCACTCTCTCCATATGCCAGTCATTAATTATTCATCCTTGATCTTTAGTTGTTATTTAATAAAAGAAAGGCTGGAGAAGCCTCCTGTGAGGATATATAATTACCCATTAGTTTATGCGATAACTAAATATGTTTACAAAACAGAATGAGATTTTATGTACAAGGTCAGTTTTTGTTCATAAAGGGGTTTACAGAGGGCTGGCAAACAAAAGGTCACCTTTATGCTGAATTACCCTTTAACAACCACAGTAAAAGCGATGTAATCACCACCCGGTACACACAGGCTCGAATATATTCAGACACACACATAAACACACACTGCGCTGAGATACACACATAACCTCATATACATTCATACACACACAGGGCAGAAATACACACAGTGCTACACACTCTGGCCGAGTGTTAATCTTCAGCCTGCTGAGAGTGCACTAAGTAGGCAGTGATCTCTCGCTGTGAGTTAACAGAGGGAGTCGAGAGAGAGTGCATTTGCGTGGCTTGATAGTCTAAATCAGCAGAGCCGAAAGAAACGAGGGGAAATGAAAGAAAGGACAGAGGGATTGAGAGGAATGGAAGGCAATTAGAGGGAGGGATGGATGAATGAGAGGGTGCTACAGTCGTGCTTGCAGGAGCACTTGTGTTAATGCTGAGAGGCAGCCTGAAAAATTATAATGAGGTTCTATAGTGGGGTAGTCGACATGAGCTTGACGTCCTACATTCTATACTGTATCTAAAACTATTTTAAACAGCATTTTGCTCATTCTTTATAAGCATGAAGCTTATATGACATCATAAAAATGGGATGTTTGTCATATATACACATGGAATATTGGTACTTTTCAAAACCCTATAACATCAAAATTAGTTTTGTAGCTTTATCTATCTATCTATCTGTCTATCTGTCTTTTTTTGTCTGTCTTTCTGTCTGTCTGTCTGTCTGCCTCTCTGTCTGTCTGTCTGTCCGTCTGTCCGTCTGTCCGTCTGTTTGTCTGTCCAGCTTTCTGCCTCTCTGTCTGTCCGTCTGTCTGTCTGTCCGTCTGTTTGTCTGTCCAGCTTTCTGCCTCTCTGTCTGTCTGTCTGGCTTTCTGTCTCTCTGTGTCTCTCTCTCTCTCACTCTCTTTCTTTCTTTCCATTTGTTTGTTCATCCATCCATCCATCAATCAATAGCAGAGTTCTTCCATCCATCAAAAATTCTTCAATCAAAATAGCCTTTAGAATTCTCTATCTATCTATCTATCTATCTATCTATCTATCTGTCTGTCTGTCTGTCTGTCTGTCTGTCTGTCTGTCTGTCCGTCTGTCCGTCTGTCCGTCTGTCCAGCTTTCTGTCTGTCTGTCTGCCGCTCTGTCTGCCGCTCTGTCTGTCTGTCTGACTTTCGGTCTCTCTGTGTCTCTCTCCCTCTCACTCTCTTTCTTTCTTTCCGTTTGTTTGTTCATCCATCCATCCATCAATCAATAGCTGAGTTCTTCCAGCCATCAAAAATTCTTCAATCAAAATAGCCTTTAGAATTCTCTATCTATCTATCTATCTATCTATCTATCTGTCTATCTATCTATCTATCTATCTATCTATCTATGTCTGTCAGTCTGTCTACTTGTTATTTCTGTTCGTCTGTCCATTTATCTGTCCTTCCATCAATCAAAAGATGAGTTCTTCCATCCATCCAAAAATCTATCAATCATATTTTTGCCTTAGAATTATATTGGAAAAACAAAAGAAATCGAAACCCTCTATGGATATATATGTAATACATGTATGTTCTTCAATTTGACTTTTTTTATTTGGTATCCATTTCACATCCTGAAAAATAAAAATCAAGAAAGATTCCTCTATCCATCCATCCATCGATTGATTCTATCCATGTGATCTCAGGGTGCACTTACATACACTTACATTGCCAATATTGACACCTTACACATAATGTAGGTAGCTTTTATTGCCCGCACAGCTCTCTGGATTCTACTATTCACTCTAAATACTCTAAAACAACAGAGTAGAGCTGAAGTTGATGACTTGAGGACCTGAGATGACAGTGACATTTGGAGCTCCCTTTGAATCCACTCTCTCCATATGCCAGTCATTAATTATTCATCCTTGATCTTTAGTTGTTATTTAATAAAAGAAAGGCTGGAGAAGCCTCCTGTGAGGATATATAATTACCCATTAGTTTATGCGATAACTAAATATGTTTACAAAACAGAATGAGATTTTATGTACAAGGTCAGTTTTTGTTCATAAAGGGGTTTACAGAGGGCTGGCAAACAAAAGGTCACCTTTATGCTGAATTACCCTTTAACAACCACAGTAAAAGCGATGTAATCACCACCCGGTACACACAGGCTCGAATATATTCAGACACACACATAAACACACACTGCGCTGAGATACACACATAACCTCATATACATTCATACACACACAGGGCAGAAATACACACAGTGCTACACACTCTGGCCGAGTGTTAATCTTCAGCCTGCTGAGAGTGCACTAAGTAGGCAGTGATCTCTCGCTGTGAGTTAACAGAGGGAGTCGAGAGAGAGTGCATTTGCGTGGCTTGATAGTCTAAATCAGCAGAGCCGAAAGAAACGAGGGGAAATGAAAGAAAGGACAGAGGGATTGAGAGGAATGGAAGGCAATTAGAGGGAGGGATGGATGAATGAGAGGGTGCTACAGTCGTGCTTGCAGGAGCACTTGTGTTAATGCTGAGAGGCAGCCTGAAAAATTATAATGAGGTTCTATAGTGGGGTAGTCGACATGAGCTTGACGTCCTACATTCTATACTGTATCTAAAACTATTTTAAACAGCATTTTGCTCATTCTTTATAAGCATGAAGCTTATATGACATCATAAAAATGGGATGTTTGTCATATATACACATGGAATATTGGTACTTTTCAAAACCCTATAACATCAAAATTAGTTTTGTAGCTTTTAGACCACGTATGTTAGATTTGAAGTCATATGTTAATGTACTAAGCATTATAAATACATAAAAAATCTGCAGTGTTCATTTCAGGGAAAAGAGAACAAAAATATTGATGACTCATCCTGCACTACACAGATTTCCGACCAATCAAATGGTCTCTAGAATGAGAATGGTCCTCCATGAGGTCTTACAAATGTATTTGTCACACTTTATAACCAAATCAAAAAACTATAAGGTAAAAATTTGTTTAAAAATTGTGGGGGAAAAAATGGTGACAAGTTACAGGACCACTGTCATATAGATTCCTATATATTTTAACTGAAAATCTAGTTGTTGATCAAATAAATATATGAATAAATAAGATCATGATGTGCATCCACGTAACACAACAGTTCACAAATAAATTATTTAATGCAGCGATAGTCTGAGGAACAGAAATGGTCTAGATGGTAAAACAAAATGAATTTATAAACATAAAAAATATTTAAATCTATATTTATATATCAATATATATGCAGACACACGCAAATACGTTTTAACTGAGCGAGCGAGCGAGCGGTCTGTCCGTCTGTCCGTCTGTCCGTCTGTCCGTCTGTCCGTCTGTCCGTCTGTCCGTCTGTCCGTCTGTCCGTCTGTCCGTCTGTCCGTCTGTCCGTCTGTCCGTCTGTCCAGCTTTCTGTCTGTCTGTCTGCCGCTCTGTCTGCCGCTCTGTCTGTCTGTCTGACTTTCGGTCTCTCTGTGTCTCTCTCCCTCTCACTCTCTTTCTTTCTTTCCGTTTGTTTGTTCATCCATCCATCCATCAATCAATAGCTGAGTTCTTCCAGCCATCAAAAATTATTCAATCAAAATAGCCTTTAGAATTCTCTATCTATCTATCTATCTATCTATCTATCTATCTATCTATCTATCTATCTGTCTATCTATCTATCTATCTATCTATCTATCTATCTATGTCTGTCAGTCTGTCTACTTGTTATTTCTGTTCGTCTGTCCATTTATCTGTCCTTCCATCAATCAAAAGATGAGTTCTTCCATCCATCCAAAAATCTATCAATCATATTTTTGCCTTAGAATTATATTGGAAAAACAAAAGAAATCTAAACCCTCTATGGATATATATGTAATACATGTATGTTCTTCAATTTGACTTTTTTTATTTGGTATCCATTTCACATCCTGAAAAATAAAAATCAAGAAAGATTCCTCTATCCATCCATCCATCGATTGATTCTATCCATGTGATCTCAGGGTGCACTTACATACACTTACATTGCCAATATTGACACCTTACACATAATGTAGGTAGCTTTTATTGCCCGCACAGCTCTCTGGATTCTACTATTCACTCTAAATACTCTAAAACAACAGAGTAGAGCTGAAGTTGATGACTTGAGGACCTGAGATGACAGTGACATTTGGAGCTCCCTTTGAATCCACTCTCTCCATATGCCAGTCATTAATTATTCATCCTTGATCTTTAGTTGTTATTTAATAAAAGAAAGGCTGGAGAAGCCTCCTGTGAGGATATATAATTACCCATTAGTTTATGCGATAACTAAATATGTTTACAAAACAGAATGAGATTTTATGTACAAGGTCAGTTTTTGTTCATAAAGGGGTTTACAGAGGGCTGGCAAACAAAAGGTCACCTTTATGCTGAATTACCCTTTAACAACCACAGTAAAAGCGATGTAATCACCACCCGGTACACACAGGCTCGAATATATTCAGACACACACATAAACACACACTGCGCTGAGATACACACATAACCTCATATACATTCATACACACACAGGGCAGAAATACACACAGTGCTACACACTCTGGCCGAGTGTTAATCTTCAGCCTGCTGAGAGTGCACTAAGTAGGCAGTGATCTCTCGCTGTGAGTTAACAGAGGGAGTCGAGAGAGAGTGCATTTGCGTGGCTTGATAGTCTAAATCAGCAGAGCCGAAAGAAACGAGGGGAAATGAAAGAAAGGACAGAGGGATTGAGAGGAATGGAAGGCAATTAGAGGGAGGGATGGATGAATGAGAGGGTGCTACAGTCGTGCTTGCAGGAGCACTTGTGTTAATGCTGAGAGGCAGCCTGAAAAATTATAATGAGGTTCTATAGTGGGGTAGTCGACATGAGCTTGACGTCCTACATTCTATACTGTATCTAAAACTATTTTAAACAGCATTTTGCTCATTCTTTATAAGCATGAAGCTTATATGACATCATAAAAATGGGATGTTTGTCATATATACACATGGAATATTGGTACTTTTCAAAACCCTATAACATCAAAATTAGTTTTGTAGCTTTTAGACCACGTATGTTAGATTTGAAGTCATATGTTAATGTACTAAGCATTATAAATACATAAAAAATCTGCAGTGTTCATTTCAGGGAAAAGAGAACAAAAATATTGATGACTCATCCTGCACTACACAGATTTCCGACCAATCAAATGGTCTCTAGAATGAGAATGGTCCTCCATGAGGTCTTACAAATGTATTTGTCACACTTTATAACCAAATCAAAAAACTATAAGGTAAAAATTTGTTTAAAAATTGTGGGGGAAAAAATGGTGACAAGTTACAGGACCACTGTCATATAGATTCCTATATATTTTAACTGAAAATCTAGTTGTTGATCAAATAAATATATGAATAAATAAGATCATGATGTGCATCCACGTAACACAACAGTTCACAAATAAATTATTTAATGCAGCGATAGTCTGAGGAACAGAAATGGTCTAGATGGTAAAACAAAATGAATTTATAAACATAAAAAATATTTAAATCTATATTTATATATCAATATATATGCAGACACACGCAAATACGTTTTAACTGAGCGAGCGAGCGAGCGAGAGAGAGAGAGAGAGAGAGAGAGAGAGAGAGAGAGAGAGAGAGCACTAAAATATTGGAAATTATTTGATGCATTGAGGGAGCAGATTTCAGACAACTTATGGTAAAATACAGCCCCCTTGTGGTTGAACTAAGCATTACAATTTAGACTTTCACAATTGGAATTGTGGTTTGCAAATTGGATATACTACTGTATTCTTAAAAAATAGCTTAATATTATTTTTACAGTGTCATTTTACACTCTGCTGTTTGTTTTTACATATTTCAAGCAAACTAACAAAGTGGACTGTCAAGTGATAAACAGATTATCATGGGCTGTAAAATATCAGTATTTTAGGAGATTCTTGGGAAATGTGACCTCTGAAATGAAAAATGAAATAACCATTTTTATGTCTTACCTGTATAGTTACTGTCATCTGATGGTGCACAAAAGAAAACAAGAGACATATATGGTTAAAAATATTCATATTAGGGAAACAGATACATTTATGTGATTGACTGTTAAATCATAAACATACTCACAGACACAGAACGGTTTAGGTGAGTCCCATTTGCCCAGCTTGGTACAGTGTGAGATATTGAAACCCTCCAATAAGAAGCCAGCATGACAGCTGTAGTGAAGAACTGTGCCCTCTACTGGTTGCCCAGGGGGCAGCAGCGCCACCCTCCCGTTCTCCAGAGACATCCAGGAACGTGGGCAAACCAATACTGAGAATTTTAACAAGACGTTTATCACATCTTACATCCTTTTAGCACATTTATATAAACTTGAAATTACACAGCCTTAAAGTGTAACGCCACTAACACAACAACACACAGACAATTACATTTAAATAAAAAGATACTTGCATGTAGAATTTCACTTGAAATATATATATACTGTGTGTGTATGTATATATATATATATAACACACAGCCGCTCAAAGGTTTGGGATCAGTAGGATTTTTATTGTTTTTAAAGAAGTTTCTTCTGCTCATCAAGGCTGCATTTATTTGATCAAAAATACAGAAAAAAACAATAATATTGTGAAATATTATTGAAATTTAAAATAACGGTTTTCTATCTTAATATACTTTAAAATATAATTTATTCCTGTTATGCAAAGCTGAATTTTCAGTATCATTGCTCCAGTCTTCAGTGTCACACATGATCCTTCAGAAATCATTCTAACATGCTAACTCATAATCAATGATTGAAACTGTTGTGCTGCTTAATATATTTTTGGAACCTGTGACACTTTTGTCAGGATTTTTTGATGAATAAAAAGTTTAAAAGAACAGCTTTTATTCAAAATATAAATCTTTTGTAACAATGTACACTACTGTTCAAAAGTTTGGAGTCAATAAATTTTATTCTTTAAAAAAAAAAAAAAAATTAATACTTTTATTCAGCAAGGATGTGCTAAATTGCAAAGTGATAGTAAAGACTTCTATTGTTACAAAACATTTCTATTTTAAATAAATGCTGTTTTTTTTACTTTTTATTCCTTCAGTGTCACACATGATCCTTCAGAAATCATTCTAACATGCTAACTCATAATCAATGATTGAAACTGTTGTGCTGCTTAATATATTTTTGGAACCTGTGACACTTTTGTCAGGATTTTTTGATGAATAAAAAGTTTAAAAGAACAGCTTTTATTCAAAATATAAATCTTTTGTAACAATGTACACTACTGTTCAAAAGTTTGGAGTCAATAAATTTTATTCTTTTAAAAAAATAATAATAATTAATACTTTTATTCAGCAAGGATGTGCTAAATTGCAAAGTGATAGTAAAGACTTCTATTGTTACAAAACATTTCTATTTTAAATAAATGCTGTTTTTTTTACTTTTTATTCATCAAAAATTCCTGACAAAAGCATCACAGGTTCCAAAAAATATTTTCAATATTGCTAAACTGTTTCAATCATTGATTATGAATTAGCATGTTAGATTGATTTCTGAAGGATCAGGTGTGACACTGAAGTCTGGAGTAATGATACTGAAAATTCAGCTTTTATCACAGGAATAAATCATATTTTAAAGGACATACACATAGAACATAGAAAACAGTTATTTTAAATTGTAAAAATATTTCACAATATTACTGTTTTTTCTGTATTTTTGATCAAATAAATGCAGCCTTCATGAGCAAAAGAGAGTTCTTTAAAAACATCTATCTATCTATCTATATATATATATATATATATATATATATATATATATATATATATATATAGTGTGTGTGTGTGTGTGTGTGAGCGAGATACTGTGGAACAATATAAGAAATATTGGTATATTATACAGTTTAGTTCATTTGTAAAGCATTTGAATTCAGAATGCTGTTATTGACCAATCAGAATCCAGTATTCCACAGAGCTGTGTGATAAATATAGATATTAATCAATACAATAGGACAGCAAGGGCACCTACAGCATCTGCTGAGCTGGTTCATGTCAGTCCAGGTGCCATTGGGAAGGCATTTTCGGACCTTGGGCCCCACAATAACTCTGCTTCCTCTACAGATATATTCTATCTCATAGTCTACCGGCAAGATCTGCACACTGCGGATCTACAGAGAGAGAGAAAGAGAGACGTTTTGTAGATTGAATTAGATGTTGCTATGGGTCATAGTCCCTTCAGAACTGACATTGATGTTTATGACTGCCATTTTAATGTGCTGCCGTAGACTTTTACCTGTTCCTGAGTCAGTCCTCTGTAGCGAATCCCTCCGTCTCTGGGGGGACGAATGATTGCACATCCTGAAAGAGAGTAAGAGAGATGGGGGAGGATGAAACGAATAGAGATGAAATGTTTTCAGCTTAGTCACAATGCACAAACTAACATCAATAACCTAAAATGACAGATGTTCCGGGTAACTTTATATCCGGGACTTTATATCTGAGTCCCCTTGCAAGACTGTAATCCAGTGATGGTTTATAAGACATCATTTTAATGGTACTGTCTCATATCAAAATACAGTTTTCATACCCCTTGGAGAATCTTTAAGATGGTTGGCACTTAAAAAGAGAGATCCTTAAAAATGTATTTAGTTTTTTATTGAGTACAGCTCTGAGAAACTGATATTTAAGAAAATCTTGTAAGCAAATATTCAAAGCAACAGCAAAATAGTGAGTGTGAGGATGTTGCTGTTATATAACAATTCAATGAACAAAAAGTAAATATTGAGTAACTTTTTAGACAGAATATAGTAAGTTTGTATCAGTTTTCGAAAACAATGAAACAAACCCACAATGAGCATCTATGAACAACATATGAGAGGTGTTTTGATTCTGAATGAATTAGTTCTGTGGAACACTGGCACTACCCTGCTAGACTGCTAAAGATCATCTCAGAGTCTTATTTTGAATTTTCCGAAACCAAGATTAAAGACTAAAGGGGATCGTGCCTTCTCTGTGGCAGCTCCACGCCTCTGGAATAGCCTCCCTCCTCATATTAGATCCTGTAACTCGTTGGAATGTTTTAAGTCCTTGCTGAAAACGCATCTCTACTCTATTGCTTACAGCTGCTCTTAGGGGTGGAGTCTGAGTAGTGACTTGTATTGGGTGTGTTCTTAATTTGTGTTTTTGTGGTAATGCTGAGAGTGTAAAGCACTTTGGTCAGCGTGTTGTTTTTCAACGTGCTATAGAAATAAATGTTAATTTGATTTTGAGTTGATTTGAACAAATCATTTAAATCAATGATTCAATAACTCACTTATAACATCACTTGTTACTTTCCTGAATGAATCAGTTTTGTTAAACAAATTGGTTAAATTAATGATTCAGTGACTCACTCATAACGTCTCTTGTTAAATTCCTGAATGAATCAGTTTTGTTAAACAAATTAGTTAAATCAATGATTCAGTGACTCACTTATAACATCACTTGTTACGTTCCTGAATGAATCAGTTTTGTTGAATGAATTGGTTAAAACTATGATTCAGTGACTCAATGACTCACTCATAACGCACTGGTTACATTCCTGCATGAATCCATTTTGTTGAATGAATTGGTTAAATCAATGATTCAATGATTCAATGACTCACTCATAACATCACTTATGTTCCTGAATGAATCAGTTTTGTTGAATGAATTGGTTAAATCAATGATTCAATGACTCATTCATAAGGTCACTTGTTATGTTCCTGAATCAATCAGTTTTGTTGAACGGTTGAATCAATTGGTTAAATCAATGATTCATTGACTCACTCATTTATAAATAGTCACTTGCTGCCACCTACTGGCATAACTATGTAACCTGTATATTCACAGATAATCCCCTCCACTAACTGCTATAATTAAACATTATTTAAAGAAAAGTTTAACAAAAAAATGTATAAAATAATTGTGTTCAAAACTTTACATTCATTTAGTTTACAAATTAATTATTAATTATTTTTGTCTTGCACAATTTATGATAATCTCTTATGTCAAATTGTTCCCACATATATAAAAAACAATTATAGCCATTTTTTTACATCTTACAAGGGGCTTGTAAACCTACAAGCTGAACTGTGACACTGAATTGCTTTGATTCATCTAGACTGTGTAGGCTATATATTGCTTTTACAATGAAAAAGGAGAACTGACATGCAATCCATTTTTTTCCTTCTATAGTTCCGGCTGAACATGATCCCATGAGGACTGAGGGCAGATCGCTGTTTGAAATCCATGAAACTCAGTTTACAGAATCTAAACAGAACGCCCTTTAATCTCACAAAGCAACAGAGGTGGGCCACTTTAGACATTCTGTGGTGTTAAATTCAACATGCACGGACCAGACATCATCCACACACACACACACACACACACACACACACATTACCTCCGGTCGTTGAATTATGTATGGACGAGATGAGAGTAGGCAGCAAGTAGAAAATTACAAGAAATAATAGCTGCTCCATTACTGCATCTGAACAAGAATGAGAGAGAGACAGAGAAATGACTAATAATATGTTTGATTTCAGCAGGTCACAATTCACGCTCGTTTCAAAGCAATTAAGCTGCTCGACGTGACCTTGTTGGCATTCAGATATGTTAAACATAATAATAAGATGCTGTCTGATTTAATTACACCACACATGGTTCTGGAGGAGGAGGATTCGTACAACATGGAGGCAGTTTGCTGTCCCTGCACTGTAAAGATTTTATGAGCTTTCCCTCAACCACTCTTAGAGTGGAAAAGCACATCCAGGGTGGGTCAAACACGAGCATGCAAAATAAACAGATGCACGCGGGTCTAACACACACACATACAGCTTCTTACAAAGACATTTCAGGAGGACAAAGCCTTGAACAGAGAGTGCTTTCATCAATATTGACTTCTGTATTGAATACACTTGAACCTAGAGGTCAAGGTATTTATTATTAGTAGCTATTATTTTTGTCTTGTTGAATTTGTGAATATCTGTTCAATTTATGAATATCAAATCTTCACCAGATAATGACAGATGTTTCACTGTAAATGTATTTTTAATAAATACTGAATTTCATTAGGCCCCTCTTGTTTTTCTTAAAAAAATATAAACAAATCTTGAAAGGTATATTTAAACCTATGAGCTGAACTGAATATGACACCATTAAGAGGCTTTCTTATTTTTAAACAGCTTTTTTCCTGATAAAAACTTAAAAATATGCTATTTTATGGTGTTTTTATATGATTACCTCATTTATGCTTCTTCTGTTTACTGTTTTAATCTTAATTTAACTGGTGTGCATCATACTAATACCCATATTATCAGCTTTTTAATTCTTTTGACATAAAAATTCTATTTTATTACTTAATTGTCAATTTTATTCTATAAAGCCATAAATAACTATTTGCATTGTTACACAAATATAAAGTCAGCTTTCTGATTATCCTTATTGTGATGCTATGTTATAGTTTAGAGATTAAACAGTAAAATATACACCTCTACAAGACAGAGTGGTCTGAAAGTGATATTGGCTCGGTTGACGGTTTGTTGAGAGGTTAAGGTCCCGTTTGGTGAACGTTTTCAGCACCATGGACAAGGACTTTCCGCGGAACCCCATAAAGACGCATCACTGCTGCTTTATTCTCATACAATGTGACGTTCTCTAGTCTAAAAATATATGCTGTCGGGGAGACGGTTCCCTGAAGTTTCCATATTAACATGGCTGCGTCTGTCGTCAGCGTACTGTAGTTCGTCTACACCTTCAAGCGCGCTGTTTGGGAAGTTTTGTGTCCCGTGCAAAGCATATTACAACCGGCTTTCGTTAATCAAACGATATCCGTCAGATATGCAGGAGAAAACAGCTGCGAGCTACTTCATCATATAAAACCCATGCAAAACACAAACGAAACTCAAACAAGCGCAGACATCACCTAAAAGTGAATTACTCACAGCAAAGGCCCGGTGCAGCTCCAGCAGGACCGACCCGAAGAAAATACACACAATATCCGTTCACGGAGAGTTTAAATATAACATCCACCCGATACAAGCACGATGTCGCTTTGATTGTGCAAATCTGTGCATCACATTTGCGGACTGCTTTATGGCTTTTAGAGAAGGGTCTGTATTGCTTTGCATTAGATCATTGCAGGTGTAAATGACAGGCTACATAGAGAAACATTATCTACATAGCGCTCATCCTTCCTCCTCTTTTTCCACTCCCTCCTCAATCTCACTTACTTGTGACGTAACGGGGGAACGCAGCCTACGTCTTTTCATCCTTGCATCACGAGTCATCTTCTGTGCCAAGTGTACAATATCATTATTTATATACTCAATTTGTATTTTTTCCCCCTTTATATAATTTATTTTGCACTTTGCCCCTCTTTCTTATATATTATTTATTAAGTGATGTATTTATTTAGAATTCTGTGGATCCTTACAAATATTTATATAGATTATTTACCGTATTTCTAATTTTCTCTCATTTTAATTATAACGCGTTATATAATTGATGACAATATTTTTCAATCATTTTAATTACATACATTTATAAAAAAGTTTCATAAAACACCAAATAATGATCTTTAAAAAAGTATCATATGACCCCTTTAAGTGTAGATTTTATTCACAAATCTATGCCATTATAAAGCACATTTTTTCCTGTTTAGATCAATTTTATTCTTAGTCACATTTACCCTCTATTTGAATATCCAACAGTAATATAATATTTATTTACATAACACCTTTTATACACATTGTTTACAAAGTGCATGGAGAGTGAATATGTATGTGCAAACACATATGCACATAGTTAGATATATCAATTTTAGATCAGTTTTCCCTTCCTCCAGGATTGTCTTCTCTTCCTCTAAGCTATTCGTTATGGGCACAGTCGTCTATTTATACTTTGCTCTTTAATAATTGAGAAGAGATGAATCCTTTCGAAGAGCCTATTTTCAACCCAATGCTCACTGTAAAAAAAACGAGGTGCTAGCAGAATGAAGACAACTTAATTAAGAAAATGTCTCGACTGAATTTGAAATGTCAAGTAGCCTTGAAAATGTCAAATATGCCATCATTGTAACAAACAATTAACTTCAAGGCACTATTTAACTTCAGTTCTGTGCAAATTGTTCTCTTTATTTAATATTATGTGCATAATCTCATGTTCTATGCAGGATATCTGCAGGGTTTTTAAATCAAATTTAAGTCCTTTTAAGACCTTTTTTAAGACATGCACAAATAAAATCAATACCTGAGTGGGATAGGGCAATGTGTTAACACACTAAACCGTAAAAACACAATTTAAAAAACTTTACAGTTCAAATAAGGGTTTTGATTTTGACTAAAACAAGAAGTAAAAAATAACAGACTGTGTGCGTTGGTAAATGTAAATGCATATGTGTGTGTGTGTGTATGCGTGTGTATACACACACACACACACACATATATATATATATATATAAATAATTTTAACTACATATATTTATATATAAAGAAAAATATTGTTAAAGTTTAATAATAAAAATCGTAATTGTAGGTTTTATTTACATATACATATATATATACATACATACATACACACACATACATATATATATATATATATATATACACACACACACTTGTACAAATGGCCTTCATTTTTATAAAAACTTAATTTAAGACTTTATTAATGACCTTTATTACAGACCCTGTCTATTATAAATGTAATGAAGTTACATGAAGTGGTAAGAACTAACTAATTATTTTAATATGAGAAACTCATCATGACACCCCAAGACAAGTTATTACAAATGAAAACAAAATCAACAAAAACAGTTTCGATATGGTGAACAGCTGCTTGTTTTTTCCACTTAAAAAAAACAAAAAAATCTGGAAATCTGCACTCAGATGCATTACTTGTGTTCTTGAAAGTTATTAAGATTAGTAATGAACAAAAAATATATATTATGACAATCTATAATATATGGTATAGTTCTCAACCTGTGAAGCTCTAGTGAACTCCATGCCCAAGAGGGTTAAGGCAGTGCTAGAAAATAATGGTGGGCGCACAAAATATTGACACTTTGGGCCCAATTTGGACATTTTCACTTAGGGGTGTACTCACTTTTGTGGCCAGCGGTTTAGACATTAATGGCTGTGCGTTGAGTTATTTTGATGGGACAGCAAATTATAGTTATAGTTCTCAAGATCCGAAAAGGGAAAGGCTACAATCAGACTGCACACAGACCAGGGCAAGGAAGAGAATTTTGCAACCGCACCATGTGAAATATTTTTGTCTCACGCTTTTTCAGAATCGAAATAGCTCAGGAGTCAGGAAGGTAGCAGATGCAGTGTAAAATCTGACGGGATGGTACAAGTTGCCAGAGAAAGAGCGCAGGGATGACTTCAGAGAGAATAAATTACAGTCAGTGTCTTATTTCAGTCATCTGCTGGAGCTTAACCTTCATATCTGAGGAGAGAGCGCTCTGCCCTAGCAGATCTAAGCCTGTTTTGATGGTGCCAGTTTATTAATATCAGGAGCAACATTTGCTGACAGATACATCCTGAATCTAATTTAACACCTGGATAACACAGAGAGGTACATGTCAGTGCCTTTGCCCTGGTCATTTGATTTTTCTGCTTTTAATATTAGCCTGGATGAACAGAGATAAAGCAATATTTAGCAAAAGCAAAATTTTTATAGTCATTTTTTCCCCTTCATGTCAGATCTCCACTCAAGAAATGGGCAAAAACAACCAGATTTATCTCAACATTTCTAAAAAATAAATACATACAATTTTTTTTTATTGTGATCTTACGTGCTTTTTTTTTGATGATTGAAAAATATTGTTAAACATGCTACCCTGGCCTATATTAGGCACACCAAAAAATATTATTTACGCTATGCTAATCTGACCACATGATTAATGTCTAAAATTGTTTTAAAAAAACACTAAAATACCCAAAATAATATGAATTTATACATGCATATTTATTGTTCCATCAGACGTCACAAATGTCACCACTGTGCACATCTTCATACAGAACACTATTAAAGACAATAATATCAACATCCAATACTCACACTGAGGGTTAGCAAAGATGTATAAAGCACACTGAATGAACATAGCCTCTCAAAAAATGAGGAAAACAGCATTCAAAAACACCTGAAAATGCATGAAATGAAAATTAATTTTGAAAAGTGATTGCCATAAACAGCAAAACATCAAATGTTCAGCGGCAGGTATTTTAAAAACCCTGCAATTGAGAATCAACACTTCATCTCTCCAACAATACAAAACCTGTATTTCGGTTGGAATAAACGTTTCTTCTGATGAAAAGGCCTGAGTGCACTAATGCAAACAAGACTAACATAAAGCAAACCTCATGCATGTATTTGTCACTTGGACACAAAGCACTTTTTGTAAACCACTATTTCAAAGTCAGCATGGGACTGACTAATGTAAAAATAAAATATATTTTAAATGAAGAAAAATAACAGTGGCATTTTAGAGCTTAAAATTAGCTAATGATTAATGGCAAATAGTGTGATTATGTCTGTAAGCGAACTAAAGCTCACCAGTGGTCAGTAAAATTTGAAAAGTATAAAGCAAAACGGCCTTATTTTATCATGTCAGCTATAGAGATTATAATAATAGTGTGTTTATTAAGACAGGGTTTTTTACATTTGCATAGAAAAATATTAGGTACTGATTAGGATGAAAAATAAATATATTGTAGTAATTACGAGTAGGTTAATCAAACTGCAGGGTTGCTACCCTTACAAATATTGTCAGTCTTTTACAACTTGATTTGAAATACCAAACAGCAAAAAACCTTCTCTCTCTCTCTCTCTCAAAAAAAAAATTTAAGAAATATATATATAATTTTCTTTTGGTCTTTCTCCTATTCAAGTACTGTTAAAAGTTCAACAATAAATAAAAATGACGAGTTACTCGGTCTCAAACACTAACAAGCTTAAAATCGATAAAACATGAGCATTATTCAAGTACGCACTCATAAACTGACACTTCTTATGTGTTGTTTGAGGAACTCCTCTGAAATCTGTGCATTTTTTTGCCTCACTCGCTTTTTATCATTCTCCAGCCCGTCTCTCTCCCCTTCTTCCCCTGAGAGACTGATGTCACTGCTGAGGCGGCCCAGGTGTTCGACCGAATCACACTTTTCGAGATCAGAGATGATGGTCTGGAGGCTGACAATGGAAAGAGAGTCTGAACCAGATCGTGTCATGTCTGCTCTTCCCATGTCCACCCACCTGGAGTTCTTATGTGTCTCCACCCACTCTCTGGTATTAGCCACGCCCTCTTTTCCATCCACCCAATCGTTTGGTCTCGGGTAGCCTCCGCAGGCTCCGCATTCGGTACCTGTGCTGCTGACTGTCTCTGCTCCTACAGGAGGGCTCCGCCCACCGCACGTTTTGATTGGTCCATCTTTTGGTTGGTCCTGCTCTCTCTGGGCATGAATCTCCTCACTGATTTGCTCCAGGTGGCGTAGGGTGCTGGAGTAGTTTAACTTGGCTTTGGAAATATGCTCCTCTAACAGTAAAATTTTTGACTTGTGCTCCTGCAAAAACATGTTTTGACCATGTTGAGCTCAGACATTTTATCTGTAAATGAGAATCTTAAAAGGAACAGTTCGTCGAAAAATAAAAATTTGGTCATAATTCACTCATCTTCATATTGAGCTGTGGTAGAAGGCAATATTTTCAGTGTATACTTAAAATTTGTTTAAAAATAAACCTGTTCCTCTTAAAAAAATAAATAAATAAATTTAAAAAAAAAACCTGTTTTAGGGATTCTAGCCCTAAAGTTATATGGATTCCTTCTATGGTACTTAATTTTATTTATTTTTTCTAGGGTACAAGCAAATGTTTTAACATTACTTTTAAGCCTTTTTAAGACCATATCCATTTTTAAAAATCATGAGAGAATCCAAAGGTATCCAAAATACCAATAATATCCAGAAAAAAAGACTTTTTGCATAATGCGTGACTTATATATATATATATATATATATATACTGCACAGTTTCAAGTCATTTATGACATGCTTAAAGCAATGCTGTCTGTGTGCATGTGCAAAATATATTCAGTGTGGATACATAAACAGAAAAATAATTTTGAACTGCACATCCTATGAGTCATATGGAGGGTTAATGGTGCATTAGTTTCATGTTTTCATGTACATAAAAGTCATACAGGCTTTTGTTTGTGCAGCATATACAGTAAGATTTATTTTTTTAAAGAAATTAATACTTATTGAGCAAGGATACATTAAATTGTCAGTACTGTCAAAAGTGACTAAAGACATAATGTCACAAAAGTTATATATTTAATAAATGCTGTTCTTTTGATCACAAAAATACCACAAAACAATTAAGCAGCACAAGTGTTTTCAACACTGATAATAATCAGAAATGCTTCTTAAGCAGAAAATCAGCATATTAGAATGGTTCATTTAGAATCAGTTATTTTAAATTGTAAATTTTTTTACAATATTTTTACTGTATTTTAATCAATTAGATACAGCCATGGTGGGCATAAGAGACTTATTAAAAAGAAAAAAAAACGTTTTTAACTAAATCTGTTGCATTATTTGATCATGTAACAAACGTCCAAGAAAACTAAGTTCAAAGTCAGAGACATTTAACTGCTTGGTACAACTTGGTAAGATATGCTGGAGAGAAGACCGGCATACCTTTGAGGTAGCATGATTCAACATCTCTTGCCAGGTTGGATCCAGTGTCTTGACTGCAGTGAGGCCCTGTTCAGCCACGTGGACCATCTCTCGAGCAGCCGAGTGCATGGACACGGCTCTCTCAAAGCTGAGTGCGGCTTTCTGGGTCTCCTGCTGGGCCTAAAATGGGTGAAACCAATCATAATGCATTTAAGAGACAATAGGATTTCATTAGGTGAAGTTTGTGATAGTAGCCTTTGAAAAACAGGCAAAAATACAATATGATGTTTTGGCATAAAACAGCCATTTCCCACCACTAAATAACGATTTTAATTTTTCATATTAATTATAACAGTTTTTTCTCAATGCTAAAGTAAGGATAAGTGTTCCTCCACCTCTTTTGCTTCTCTTCGTGCCTCATAGTACGGCCTGGCCTTCTCGATGCAGGACCCCAGTTCTGAACTTTTCACCTTGAGTTTAAGCACAGATTCACTCATTATCCTCCTATGGCTGGACCGAACCTCCTGACAACACAAACAGAAAGTTTTTACACAAATTGCGCATAACATTCATAATTCAAATTAATAATAAAAAAAAGTGTGTGCATCAAGCAAGAAGACCTAAGAGAGAGAGAATCATATAAGCCTTATCTGCATTATAAGTGGTAAGGTTGGTGGTAAGGTTATTATAGTTAACTAAAACTAATTTAATGTATCTTGATGTGCTAAAACTAAAGTCAAAATAAAAACTAATACAAATTATATAGACATTAAAAAATAATGAATTGAAAGTGACGTGACATGTCACCCATGTCTGGTAACCCATACTTAGTGCTCTGCATTTAACCCATCATATATATATGTATATAAAAGGGGTCGTGTGAGAGCTTACTAAAACGCGTTGACTGAATTTCAGTTTACCTGGATTCTTGGATCTAATTCCTCCTCAGTCAGTTTTTCATGTAGTGAGTTTTCATCTTGCCTTTTAGATCTCTCAGAGTCTTTACCCTCCATCTCGGTCTCCTCGGATTCCCCATCAGCTTCTCTGCTATCGTCTGTCACCTCCTCCGGCTGATTTCCTCCTCTCTCCTCCACTGAAGGTGCTCCTGACCCCGCAGGACTTTCACGCAAAGCCGCTGGATCCATTTACAGGCCTCTTCGTATAGCCGAGATCAAATTTGGCGATTAACAAAGCGAAAACTGTCAGATCGGAAGCGAAACAGAGAAGTAGCCTTACTTGACTATATCTTAAATGTCTTTCCCTTCATTTCTTTCTGTGGTAGTTTGTTAGCTTGCTCGCTACTGCAAATGACTAACTGTTATCAGCAAATAAATAAACCGGTTTGATGAGTTTAAAAGTGCCATGAAATGTAAACTGAATAATATGAAGATTACATGACAAATAATCGCCAAAAGTCCATTCTTTTGCTTCAGCTTTACCCCATGGCTAACATCGCTCTCGCTCCGCCATTCAATAACACGGAATGTGATACACGAGTGAGGTAAATAGAAAACGCGAAACCAAACCCTTTAGGACCGTCTGAGCTACTGTAGTTGACGTTGTGTAACATTCGTGTAACGTAATAGCGTGGGAGGCTTTGGTGACGCACGTAATGACTCGTTTGTGTGGCTAATAATAATAATAATAATAATTGGTATATTTCATACTCAAAAGCAAAACGAGTAGCCTATTTCTAAACTATGTTTTAGGGTATTTAGGGTTGAACTTCTCTCTTAATTGTATTGCTAACAAAACATCTATATATACAATGTTATTTGCATAATGGAAAAGTGAAACTAAGAACTGCTGTCTTATTTTTAATCTATTTTTCCTAAACCCTCTGTATTAGTATGTTTTCATTATTTGGATGTCTTCTTATATGTAAATGATTTATGTTTAGCACTGAATTGAAACATAATATTACTGTTATTATTATTATTATTGTAAATACTTGTTTTTCCTCATTTGAAAGCCTGCTAATTGTAAATAATTATAATAATAATGACTGTTCATTTATCATAAATTGCATGTTTTCCTCCTGTAAATTTGCTGAATTAATACATCTAAATTATGTGAATAATAACAATTGTTTTGATAGTGTATTATTTTTATTAGCATTATTATTTAAATAAGCAAGAAATGAGTCATCAAATTTAACAAAAAAATAATTTTCCTTTTCAAAAAATCCCAGTATATAAGTAAAAGTAAAACACAAAACATAATCAAGTGTCAAATGATTTTTCCTAACATATTCCAAACACTATGCCATGAACCGTACACACAATTTAATAAAGACAGTACACAGAGGCGAATCAAAAAATTCTACATTTATAGGCACTTAGAGTAGTATTCACAGTATTAAAAAATAAGTGTTCTTTTTTTTAAACATATTTACTCTCATTTTTAGTTCCTGAACAAGTATACTTTGTGTGAAAAACATGTATAGCTGGTCAGCATAAGATTTAGGTTTTATCTGTCAGTTTAATGATGCATCTAACGTGACAAAGTTCTCACATAAATCCTAGTTAACGTTATACCGACAAATAATGAAACCTGAGGCAAAAATCTGAGTGATCAATTAATGGTTTTATCTTTGGTATCATCCTGAAACCCCAACTAGAGGTTTTTCCATCATAAAGCAGCACAATGGAATTTTAAGACAATTGCTCTCTGTGAAAGGAATGATGGTGACAGATAATATGCAATATAATTTTCATATGCTTTGCACCTTAAAAGAAATTCCTGTGATGTAGGCACAGCCCACCTCAACTCCAGCTCGGATCATACTGACTCCAACCAGCAGGCGGAGCTACATAGACCCTCTTTCCACGTGAAAGGAAACTAACTACACCTCTATACCCTGCTCGTGGGACTCCTGACTTCAGGTCATCCATCACACCAAGATTGCGAGCCAATGTTTTAAAACGGTCAGGACTGGAATACTGCACCCGAAACGGACCAGACCCAGACAGTTTCCCACTTTGCAAGTCCTCCACAGTGACAACCGGAGCACTGTAAACCTCCTTCTCAAAGCTCTCATCATATTTCTTCTTTTCTAAATAAGAAAGGTCCATTTTTGTAAAAGGCACAAATTCGGAATTCAGCTTAATAAAGCGGAGGTACTTGTCGTAAAACTGCCCCAAACTCACACCCTTCCGACCGAACGTTAAAGTTCTGGAAATTTCTGGTCTGATGCAGGACCTGTCTCTGCGCTGATCGGGGTGGCGCATCCAGTCGTCCCAAAACGAGGCTGGCCACTTTGGCTCAAGCTCTGCCCAGAGGTCCTTTGTGAGCATCCAGCCCAAGCCTGGGAAAAAATCTGTCCTGTACAACAGACTCGCTTTTCCAGGGTCAACAAATCCTTCCCTGCCATTGTCATTCCAGGCAGACACGCACCACAGAGTCGGGTCCGATTTTAAAATTGGATTAAGTGCTCTGAAGTACTCAAAAAAATCAGGGGCCACCTGGTGAAAGAGATCAAACATACCATCAACAAAATAAAAATTCACATAAAAAATTTGTAACATCTTTAAATGAATAATTCACCCAAAATCAATCAGTCTGTCTGTCTGTCTGTCTATCTATCATTTTTACTTTTTTATTGTCAATTGTATTGATCTTGATTATCTGTTATACACACATAAAACCACACAAAATTATGATGATCATAGGAACCATTTTTACTTTTCTTTGTATAGAAAATAGAAAATAGTTTTAAAAATCATATTTTTTAATTTTTTCATATTTTACATATATATCATATTTGGTTTTTGTCGTTAAAGCTTCACTTTTTATTGTTAATTTTATTTCTTAATCATCTGTTATGATTAATTTTAAATACGTTTTTATGCAAAGCACAAAATGCATACAATTATATATATATATATATATATACATATATATACACACACACACACACACACAGAGATAGATAAGACAGACAGACAGACAGACAGATAGATAGATAGATAGATAGATAGATAGATAGATAGATAGATAGATAGATAGATAGATAGATAGATAGATAGATAGATAGGATAGAATACACACATGAAAGTATTGGGGGTTTTTCATGAAGATGGTCATAGGAAACATTTTATGATACTCTGTATGGAAAAGAGAATAGAAAACAGTCTTAAAAATTTCAGTAGCACTTTAATTTCCAGTCCTGTTACTCATGTACATACTATGTACTTATTATAGTAATTACAATTACTAGGTAATAACTAGGCACTAACCCTGAACCTACATCTAAACCTAACCCTACTCCATGTAGTTGCCTTATATTACCAGTACTTTCTTAGGTTGGTACACTATAAGTACACTGTAAGTACATGCAAGTTCACGTACTGTAAAATAAAGTGCAACCCAAATTTCTCTTTATGTATCTTGGATTAACTTTTCTTATAATGAATTAAAATTAAGTTACCTCCAAATCATCCTCCACAGCAACAACCGAGGAGTATGAAAAGGTGTTGAAAACCTGGTTGAGTGCCCACCGGTAATGCCGGGAGATTTTGTAGTAACCTTGGAACTTCTTATGCTGTGGAGGTACTGAGATATCAGAGAGATCCGGCTGTTTGATATGAGTCAGCTGACTGCCATACGAGGCGATCACGTCAGATGTTTCTGCGTGTCCACAGTCCTGGCTCACTATGATTGGATAAAGTTCAGCAGACGGTCGGTGCTCAATGAGTTTGTCAAGGCAGCGTTTCACCGTCACACGATTACAGGCAATGACCAAAATAGGGATGACCGCCGGAGCTGAATGTTCGGCTTGTGATTTTGGCTTAGCAGCTGTCACACCGCCTTTGTTCTCCCAAACCGCCCAATGGTTCTGGATTTGCAACAGGATCTTCTTCTGCGAATCAAGTTCAGCTTCAAATGCATTAGCTACACGCATCACCTCGTTCATTATATTTCCAAACTGGCCTCCTCCGGCTCCGTCTCCCGTGTTACCAGGTTCATCCGGGCTGTCAAGAGCCCCTTGGGTGGAAGGGCGTCTCATGAGGACAAAAATAAGAATAACGTTCCAGGCTACAAATATGAAAGCACCACAAATGATAAGAGGACTTCTCTTGCGTAGCATGGCCTGATGTGTGATAGGACAGAGGATTCAGGAAGGAAGAAATGGACATGAAGTGGGCTTGTAGGACAGGAAGGTTTGACGGAAGGATGAGCGAGAAAAGTTTTGTGGATACGTGAATATTTTTTTCACATGCTTTGCATGATACTTTTAGTCAGCATTTACAATAGTAGAAGCAATATGTAACATTAAATCGACGGAAGGTGAAAATAAGACATATTCCAGGTTTTAGGATTCTGATATAGATATTTCTGTCCAACGTGACACAGTGACCTTCAGCAGAGCCTGTAAAATAAGCAAGATTACCAGATATTAAGCAGAGGAAAAAGCTCACATATATGTAGCCAACAGTCCTGAATTAAAATTAAATACATTCTTTCATTACTTTCTTTTTTTATGCTATTATTATATTTTTTATTATACTTTACTGTATATTCTATATTTTTACGTATTTTGTATTGTCCTTGTAAGTTATGTCTGTTC